GCGTTATTATTATTCTTATATTATTATTATTATTATAAAAGAATGTTATATATTAATATAATCTATTATAATAATATTATTATTAACTCTAAATGCTTTAGTTATCTCTTCTGCAATATAGAGCACTTCATAAAATATACTCTTTATAATAACCTACTTCCCTTTATAGCTACTAATAGAAATAATATCTATCCCCTTAGTGTTAATACTATATTCTTTTAGACTTATAATCCTCTTAACCTATTTAAGATAATTAACTAAACTATTAATGATATTAAGTATAGTTTACTAAGTCTTACTAACTTACTTAGCTCTAGTAAACTTTATAAGGTAAATATTAATTATAACTATAAGTTTAGTAGCCTTATATATATAGATAATACTCACCCTATTAGTAAGGTTAAATAGATTATAGATATTATAGTTCTCTAGACTTATATAACTTCTAATATACCTATTAATATTGCTATCACTCTTATTAGTATTCACTATAACCTTAAGCTAACTCTTAAGATAATATATTATCACTTAATTTATATTTATCTATTTAAAGTTATTAAGGCTTACTGCTATATAGGTATTATATTTAGTAAGGAGGAGATAGAGAACTTCTACTATAAGGTATACTATCTAGCTAAGTTAATAGAAATCGTTAGCTATAATTCTCCTCTACCTCTCACTTAGATTAGAGAAGAGATATATCTCAACCTTATTAAAGTTAAGCCTCTATTAATAACTAGTAAGCGCTACGCCCTATATTTTCTCAATAAGTATAGCAGATATCACTAGCTTATTCTTATACTTAATTATTACTATAAAGTCGTTTATAATACTATTAAGAACTTCTATAATGTTTTTACTAATATAACTAGTTTTAATATTAAAACCTAAGTTTATAATAATACTCTAGAGTTTAAGAAGGTTTTTTATAATCTATACTTTACTAATACTTATATTAACTTCACTATTACTAATATACTTTCTATAAATAGCTCTATTAAGTATATTAGAAGAACTATTATTAAAGTAGCTTATATGCAGTTAATTAATACTAACTTACTTAAAAAGCTTTAGGATTACTCACTTAATTTAACTATTTAAGTACTTAACCTTCTACCTTAAGATATTAAGGGTAAGATAAGCTTTTATAAGATTATAGCTTATAAACTTAACCTTACTGCTAATTATAAACCACTTTATATTAAGTATCTTTACACTTTTAGTTATACTACTTATATCTATAAGAAAGGTGTTAACTATCCTCCTTATTCTAAAAAGATAGAGGTTTATATAATAAAGGGATATCTTATTAGATATATATCTCTCTATAGCTATATCTACTATATCTATATCTTAGAAAAGAAGAAGGTTATCTACTACTATAATATTTACTTCTATAAAGGACTAATAAATATAGTTCTTTAACCTATATATAATATACTAATTACTAATAATATAAAATATAATATACTATTTAATAAGCTAGATCTCTAGATTTAGCGTAGTATAACTATAAGCGCTTCTAATTCTCTTAAGAAATTTCTAGAGATTACTGCTATAATACTAATATCTTTAAGTACTAGTAATAACGCCCTTAATATAGCTATAGAAGGATTAGACTTAATAACCTTACCTCTAGATAAAATTATATTTTACTTAACCTTATAGTCCCTTTTAGAAGATAATATAGTTATTATAAACTATAATAAGAAGGCTAATAAGTATTATAATAGTAATAATAACTCTAATAAGTCCTTCTATAGTATTATTAACTAAGAACTTAATAATATTAACCTTACTTATAGATAGCAAACTTATAGAGATAAAGCTACTAAAGCTACGTAATATAATAAGACTACCTCTATTAAACCCTATTAAGGTAACCTTAAGCCTCCTAATTACTATAAGCAGCTCTCTAGTATCTATAACTATAACAAAAAGGTATATATTACTACTAATATTTAGGTATATAATAATATACCTAAATACTCTCTTAATACCCTTACTGCTATTACTATCTCTAGAGCGCTTCTATAGAGCTATAGCATTCTAAAAACCTTTAAGTAAGCTAAAGATAATCCTTACTAGCTTAAGTAAAAAGAAGCCTATAAGTAAAAGATCTAGTAGTTTATTATAAAAAAGGTCTATAAACTTATCTACCTTCCTTATAACGCTAAGGTCCTTCCTAGCTAATAGGTCTTTAATATTAAGACTACTATTAATAATATTATTACTTAATTTAAAGTTTATTAGGTTATATATAGTAACTTTAAGTGTAGAGATTAAGCTTCTTAGGAAGTTTATATAGTAGTTACTATAGCTATAGCTCTTTAATTATTCCTTACTATTACTACTCTTTAAGGATTTAAATATTAGATATATAACTTTAATTCTACCTTCCTCATAGTACTAATTCTTAATAATATTAAGATCTATATTTATTAGCTTACTAGCTTTAGTACTAATAATAGTAAAGTCTAGCTTCTTAAGAAGGTATTTTATAGTCTATATAAAGCCCCCCTCTAGTAGTTTAATTTTATCTATATTAAGATAAATAAAATTAGCTTTATTCCTATTAATAATAAGCTCTATTTATTTATAAATAAGGATTAATATACTTATACCTTAATATATATTAATAATAATATTATTACTATACCTAATAAGTAGTATATTAAGAGTATTTATAATAATCTTAAAAAAGTATATACCTTTAAAAAGCTTAGTGAGGCTATATAGTTCCTTAGTTTCTAGATTAAATATAATATCTTAACTAAGAAGATCTTCCTCTTATAGTATAAGTATACTAAAGCTATCCTTTATTAATTTAGCTACTAAGATTTATAGCTTATAAAGACTCTCTTCCCTTCTCATAAAAAGCTTCCTATTTAATAGGATAAAAATAAATATATTATTATAAAGGCTAAAGAGTATATTAAGAAGACTAGCTACTTTAACTAGCTTACTTAAAGTACTTATATTAATATTACTTATTATATTAGTAAGCTCTACTAAGCTAATAGAGGTTTATTTTAGATATATTTATACTTTACTAAATACCTCTTTTACTACTTCTAAGGAACCCTCTATTATAGTATTATTATTAATAGAACTAATCTAAATTAAACCTTAGTTCTTTATAATATAGTAAACTTCTTATTTACTAATAACTAGCTATTTTATATCTCTACTAGAGGATATATTATCTTCTTTAGTAATACCCTTATTACTTAAAAGACTAAAAAGTAGATATTTATCACTCTTAGTATAACTAAAGTAGAGTTTATAAACTTAATACCTACTAACCTCACCTTTAAATAGATTAAAAGATCTATTAAGTAGATATTTAATACTAAGATAAATACTCCTATTTTATTTTTTATAAATAGTATTAATATATACTCTTATATTATAAATCTATTAAACTAAGCTTATACTTACTATATTAACGTTTAATATAAATAGATTATTAAGGAAGTACTTATAAATAAGACCTTTATGCTTTACCTTATTAATAGCTCTAAAATAGTTACTAATAGCCTTATAAAGTCTTTTAAAGCATAAAAATACTATAATTTTATTAGAATACTTAGATTAGTAGATAGATTAAAGGATAATATAGATTAATATTAGCTAGCTCTAGGATTAGTTTAATCTAAAGCTTTAAGCTAATCAGAAAATAGAGATTACTTAGTAGTTTAACTAGAGATTAACTAAGTTAATATAAACTTAAAAACTCCTTAGTTTTAAGTATTTTAGTTTTTAATAAGATTTCTAGCGTTTTACCTACTTTATATATATTAATAGTTACTACTAAGCCTTAGAACCTGAGGGGTAGTGTAGTAGCACCTACCTATAGGTACCCTAGGTGGCCTATACAGCCTAAGGCCCCCTAATGCCTTCTTCCAGCCTCCTAGCTAGGCAGCCCACTTAGCTAGATCATCACACACATCACTACCACTCGTTTGCCTATACCTCTATAATTTCACATTCAAATACTCTCCTTCAATATCCTCACATCATGTCCAAGGCCGGGGACACAAGACGCCTCACCGTTTTCATCCGCGTCACTCGCATGCCGTTGAGGGTCGACATTGAGTTCCCGGACAGCGACCTCGCCAAATGCTACCGCCAAAGCATCGAGGGAAGTAAGAAGGTGCTACAGGGAGAGTCCTTCACAGTGAGGATGGAGCTGCCCTCCTCAGTCGTCGACCTCGAGATGTCGCAGTCTCTCGGGGGCATCATCATGCATTTCCACAAGGATTACGACGCGAAGATATGGGTTGATGACGTCTGCCGGCCTGTCAACGGAAAGCCGAAGCAGGTTTATTTCAAGCAGTACTGGAGCGATGCAGAGTTTGCGAAGCTGAGGAGTACGTTGGAAAAGAAGCGAGGTCAGGCGTATGAGGAGGTGAATGCACGCCCAGACCGTGCAGGGCCGCCACCGGAAGCCGCATTATATTCGGAGAAATACAAACCAGATATCTTCAGGAGGGGCAGGAGTTGAGTGTTGACAGGCCTAGTATACGAGGAGCGCAGAGCGCAAATTCTAGTCAAGCATGCGTTTACTGAAGCATCTATGATTGGTATTATGGTATTGAAGCAAGGAAACCGGGTTACTTATCGGTAAACCTCAAAAATTCTTAAACGGCGGTGATTTTGTAGTGCCTCGATTGCGTACAACGAAACAACATGCCATTTAGAATGTCTTTGTAAAACGTGAGAAACCTCGCCATGAACTTTTCAATCAAATATAATACCGTCGCCAAGACGATGAGGACGACGAAGACGATGAAAACTGTAACGTAGGATATAAAACCAAAGGACGTAGTGAGTTTAGCCCTAGAAAAATATTGGCGGTCTCTAGAGAAATACTAAACTTTCATAATGGCAACGAATCTTATTGTCTCAAACAAACAATAAAGTTCTCAAGTTACTACATAATGATGGCTATCATTGCACCCTGAAACTCTTCCGCTTTACCTTGAGGTGCGCTTTTGATGTTTCTCTCACCTTTGGTATCGCGATCCTTGCGGTACCCAGCCTCTCATATGCATCCTGCCCACCCTCGCCATCAACCCGTCGCAACATCATGAGTAATAAGTTGTCCGTACCTTGCTCATTCAAATCGCCGAAGCCAATCTCAATCTCCTTATCCAGCTCCTCAACCTTGAGCAAAGCTCCTCCGCCATCATCCTTGAAGATAAGGGCATCCCATTCGGCGTCCAGAAGGACCCCCTTCTCCTCGTCTAGAGTCGGCGTGAAGAAGCCAAAAATTGCCTGATTTTCATCCGAGAAAACTTCAAAGTAAAAGTGGCCCTCGTCCTCGAAATCCATATCGCGAATAGTCGCAACTGCAGGATCCTTCGAAGACACAATGTGCCCGTGAGACATTTTAATGGTCATTGCAAGGCCCTCGAGATAAAGAAACTGCCGCATCTCGGGAACGAGGCTGGTGGACTTCGAACCATGGTGGGCGTAGAATTCATCGAAGTGCAGCCGTTGCCAACAGCCGGCCTCGTTATTGACCTCTACTTCAATTTTGACGTTGGAAAAGGTGGCGGGTAGTGGCGGGACAGCCTCTTGGTTTCTCTGAAAAACCAACTCACCCGCATTCATTTTGGCATTCTGAGGCCGATCGAAGCTGAGCTCCAGTGGCCCTTTCCATCCCGCCCAGGACCAGCTCGGAAACTTCGGGTTGCGTTTCGCAGGGTGCTTGAAGCTCCAGTCCATAGCCTGGAGGAGCCCCAAGGTAGCCGTTTGGTGCACTTTGTTATTGAAGATGGCCTCGCTGGAGACGCGCAATGTTGTGAATATCGGTAGACCCCAGAAATGTCCGAATGGCGGTGTCGTTGTTGACCCTCGGCTGAGTATACCAAGCATCCCGTTCAAGTTGTCGCTGCTAAAAGTGAGAGACCTGGTCATGTACTCTTCGATCAAAGCAAAGACCGTCGGCCCCTTGTTCAAGCTCATTGCCATGGGAAAGTTGCGCACGCTTTGCGCTGCTTCGCCATACATGGGCGGCCAGGTCGGTCCATCCTTGCCATACCTGAATGCTGTGCCGTACTTGAAGAAGATGTCATCCGGGGCAAAGACGGCTTCCGTACAATGTGAGAAGTTGCACTCAAAATAGACCTGGTACTCGGTGAATATGAGACGCCGCGTAGAGAGAAGGCCCTCTTGGTATGTCCACCCCCGTTCGGTCCACTTGGCGTGCTCAAGGAGATTGCTGAGCGGCGGGAGAGAGGATACGTAGAGCATCTCTCCGATTTTGACCGACGGCTGCCGGAGCCGCGGCCGAGTGCTTACTCCCGGCAGGCCGAAATTGGCGTCTTCCCCAGCGCAGGCGATGATGGCAAACACGGCCGCCTCGTAGATGATGTGCATGTTGGCGAGCTGGTTTTGCGTCTCCTTTCTCTTCTCAGGATCCTGTTGCGCGTTGCCGCTTTGGTCGATGCAATACCTGTCTACCCACAGGTAACCAACGCCGAGGTTCCTGCAGACTACGAATGCGTCCTGGACGACTCTCGGAAACCCGGTCTCAGGGGCCTTTGTGCCCCAGACGTAGCTTAGGGCGACGTATTCTTGGCCTTCCGGAAGAGAGACTATTTCCTCTGTCGAGACGTTCATTACCCGGAATCCCGGGATGTCTCTGGCGGATCTTTTGTTCGGGTTTCCACATCCAGTTGGGTGGTATGTGCGACAAGCATTCAACCAACCTTTCACGATGTCGTAGTCGATGGTGTCAGTCGCGATTCGCCTCCCGGAGAAACGGCGATTTCCTGCATTGACAGGGATGACAGGATACAGGTACCCCGAGGAGCCGGAGTGCTGGCGCAAAGAAATTCCTTCTTGCTCGGGATAATACACATGCGGCGGCTTCGGATCGATGGCCAAAATTGCTGTGTCTTTTAACCGGCGGGCAGCCAATAGAGGCCCGATGTTATTCCCATGCTCTGTCTCTCCAGTCGTCTCAAAGTTGACGTATGTAGCCGACACAACATTGAGTTCGAAAGGCAAGTCGGAGTGACCATGAGTCGATACTTCAAGCCTGGTGCGCACAGCCGTGAATACGTTGCAGAGGGGGCAAGATGCAGTTGCGAAGTCGTCTGGAAATCGACCCAGGTCGGCTACCTTCCTCTCAATCGTGTTTCGGTGGCATGGGGTGCTGCCTTCGTCTGGTACTTCGTTGATCATCGCGGCTCGGATATCAACCGCGTTTGCGGTGTCTGTAGCGCCTTCCATCCAAAAGTACCACTGAACCCGTGCATCTTTCTCGTCTTCTTTGCTTTCGGCTCTGCTATTGGCGTCTTTGGACCCGGCGTTATTGTATTCGGACACGGTCCTCTCTTCCAATTCGGCGCAGTTGTTGGATTTGGCATCTCCGCCTTCATCATCTTCATTTTCCTGGGTGGGCACCACAGGGTCCTTGGAAGTTGACGATCTGACTTTCATGAGGGAAGAAGGGTCGGCATCTTGAGGGGGCATATCAACTGGGTTCGGTAGAGGGTCCAGTGAAAGCCTGGCGCATCTTTCGCAGATTTGAGCCGTCTCATCGACAGGCTTCACTTCTGGCGGTGGATTCGTGTCTCTCGGAGGGGCACTTGTTGGATGATGTTCAATCTGCCGACGCATAGATCCAAGAATGTCGTTGATTGGGTATGTCAACGTCCGCTCCTCGTCATTTGGGTCCTGTACCGTGTGACTGGCATCTGCTTCTTTAAGCAGCCCGGACGAGTATAGTATTGATAGCCTATCTGCCACCCATATCATTGAGTCGTTCACCCAAGGCATGGATTCATCCTGGAGATGTTCAGGTGCGGGTTGAAACATATCGATCGGCTTTCCCGAGAGGACAAACTTGCAGAATGGAGGTGTGGTGGAAGTTGGGTTTAGAATAACCGGCAAGGGCTGACCAGAAATCTCAAGGACGGTGATTGTGCTCTGCTGAAGCTGCGCAAGCTACAAAATGTTTTCGCAGCAGAGCGCGAGTAGCAGATTTGCCTAATGCCTTGACCAGGGTTGTATTTGCGACCAATTGCCGGGATATCCGCCGTTCTCACCTAGACGTGGGTGGTGGCTAGGCGCGCATCCTTCTGCAGCTTCCTCAACGATTCTGTTGGACAACGGGCTGGGAAATGTGGAACTATGCATGATGTATCATCGGATTGAAGTGCTGCCTGGTGCTAATATGTCTCACTCATAAGCGGCCGAAACTTTCCGGTCGCCATAATTCGACATTGGCAAGCTTGCTTCCTCCTCCTCAGAAGCCTGTAAATATCAGTCTTTGCAATCCTTTGGAAAATCTGAGTACGTCAAGAGGTACCGCAAGCAATCTGTGAGGCGCGATGGCCACCGAACAAAGCCTCGAGTCTATATTTCCCGCCTTACGACTGGGGCATGTCGAAGGACACTCAAAGGAGCCCGAAGAAAATGAGATTGGCGACAAGATTGCATGCGGCAGAAAATGCACGTCAAAGACCCTCTATGGAAGCTGGGATAACGAAGAAGATGACTTCATCTGGTCGGAAGAGTATCCGGACAATATCGCAGAGGCGGCGGAAAATGAAGAGACAATGCAGTGCGCTATACTTGTCAGAAAAAGTGAGCTTTTACATGTCGTATGTCATGCCCATTTACACAGCCCTTTCTGACAACAACATCCTGCAGAGAAAAGTACGGATCCAAGAAGATCTCTGGAGATCCACAGCATAGTAATTCAGAGCCCGTTGATCAAAGAGGTGCTCAGCGAAGTCTTTGCGGGATATCCTGATTGCAACCTTGAGCTGGAGCGAACGGAGATCGACGCTCCATTTGGTCCGTTTGTCCACCGATGGGACGGGTTTACATCTGCTCTCGAAGATGAGAAGTTGGGCGAGGAAACTCGACAGCATTTGCAACTATTGAATGACGCCATTGCTCCTGAGGTGACGGACATCATTAATAAGGTCAAAGACTACAAGAAGAATAATGTCGTTGACTTCAAGTACCTGTGGGCCATTTTCGAACCAGGGTGCACTGTCTTCACTATAGAACATGGTCATCAAATGGCAGCGTGCTTCGAGACGTCGACCTACATTGAGACTCAAAACGGAAAACAGCTACTTCTATGGTGCAAATCAATCAACTGGGAAAAGTCCGACTTTGGCTGGGAGAGCAAGAGACTTACGATCAAGGAGTTCAAGAGCACCATTCCCATATCATCATTACCCGTCTTTCCCTTGAAGAACCACAAAGGGCACGGAATTATCGAGCAGAATCTCATACAAAGAGGCAAGCTATTTGAGAATCTCTGTGGACTGCAGTACAGAGATTACGATGGACAAGCTGTCCAAGTTGTACAACTTCAACACAGTTTCGAAGTTCGGGAGAAGGCCGTCAGGGTACAAGAACGTATTGTCATTGACGCCGAGGCGTATGACAGGTTCAACCCCCACGACCAGACATTCACTCATCCGATCTTGGATGACAAGGAAAAGAATGCGGAGTCGTCTCGCTTTGGACATGCGGAGTACACCGTGATCCCGATAGATTTCGCCAAGAAGGGAGAGTCCAAGAAGACCCTCACCGAATACCAACAGCTCCTATGCGTGCCGTCGGTCCGCGGCTACGCTCTCAAGACCAAACGATGGCTTCGACTCAGTGTCTCCTCCGTGAAAGAGATCGAGTTGAACGAAGGCGCCTTCAGCAGCTTAGTGCTGCCAGAAAATTACAAGAAACTCCTACGCGCCTTTATGGAAAGTCAGCTCCAGTTCAAAAACGACTTCGACGATTTCGTGGCGGGAAAAGGGAAAGGGATCGTCATCTTGCTTTCCGGTAGCCCGGGTACAGGCAAAACCCTCACTGTAGAGAGTGTTGCCGAAGTACTCAAGGCGCCACTGTACAGTCTCAGTGCTGGAGATCTTGGGACCGACAGCGGCAGCGTTCAGGAACGTTTAGATGATGCTCTCCAGCTCGCCGCTGATTGGAATGCAGTGTTACTGATCGACGAATGCGATGTGTTCCTCGAGGCCCGGAGCAGTGATAATCTAGGCCGCAACGAGCTCGTCAGCATATTCCTCAGAACGATAGAGTACTACGAGGGGATAATGTTCCTGACTACCAACCGTCTGGACTCAATCGACCCTGCCTTTCACTCAAGAGTACATCTAAGCCTCGAGTATCCTGGTCTTGAGCAATCATCTCGAAAGGAGATCTGGTCGGGATTCTTGGACAAGATTGGAAAGGGGGATCAGAGGCATGCATTGAGCGAAGAAGATGTTGGAAAGCTTGCGTCGCTGGATTTGAATGGTCGCCAGATTAAAAACGTTCTGAAAACGTCCAATCTGCTCGCCTGTTCGGAGAAGACAAGGCTTAGATTTGACCACGTGAAGACTGTACTTGAAGTATGGCGTTACAAGGTCCAATGATTTGCCGAAGCGCGGCGACGGATATTGTTGCCCTTTTGGTCACAAACGGTATCATTAGTCCAAAAGTACAGAACAGCCACATCATTGGGTTCAATTTCAAAGACTAACAATACACGCTGTGATTCAGCTCAGCCATAAGCCTCTAAGGGAGCACTGGTATGTGCAGCCCACCCTCAACTAGGTCAAACCACAGACCACAATAGCCATTGTCTCTCGCCGCTTTTACAAGACTTGCGAAACCTTTGAGTTTCGTCCCATATCCCGACTCTCCGGCGGTCACTGGGGACACATATTTGATTACTCGCTCACTCAGAGAGTCGATCTCGAGAGAACTGACTAAGAGAGGTAACCCTATTGGGACTCTCTTCATTTCCACCGGAACCCACTCGATAAAGCACTCCAACTCAACTGCGATTTTCATTGCCAGTCGTAGTGCAGTATCGTCTTCAACGCCGAGCGGATATTGGAGGCGATGAATGATAAGAAGAGTCGCCAGACGGTATACCCGAGCTTGTAGCATCATGGACGATACTTCTAGTCGGCTAAATTGGCTGAAGAACGTGGTATGGGGTGCCGGCTCCCATGCACGCACTCGGCGCTCAATGTCGGCTAGTTCATTACCGCAATTCCTGTGGCGGAGATGCATAGGATTGTCAGATAAGACTGACCCTGTACAAGCTGACTTCTTAGCTTCGTAGCTTATTACACAGAGCTCATAGAGAATGCAAATGAGACCACTGCAGAGACCGAAAGTTCTATCCACCGTAGACCCGTTGCCGCGTGGGGGCTGAGCAACAGGTATTTCTCGCTTTATAAGGCACTCGACCGTGTCGACAAGTATTGAAGTAATGGTGATAGGGCACAGGCAGGGCTGAGCGAGCAGCGAGGGAAGCCAGTCCTTGACCAATAGAAGTGATTGCCGAAGAATGGCATGTGCGGATGTGCCCAAGAGGATAATATGGTAGACGACTAAGACCTGCCCGAGCATGATGACGGCGGCAGCATCGTGTGCACCGACGATAGCGGCAGCTTGCAACTGCTTGAGACAGTTGGATCCTTCGCGAGGATTCACTTCGTCAAGAGTTTTCATTCTATTGTGCTGGGCATCCCACAGGGCCAGGGCAGCCAGGTAAGCGTTCAGGAGAACACCGCCCGAACGGGCGAAAACGACCGTTATCGCGCCGCGAAAGCTGTCGGAGAAGCTGGGGCCAATCATAAAATGCCTATGATAGCTGTAAAACGTCTGCTGATCTGACAGGACACGGTGAAGATGCTGCTGCCGTTTGGCTACCAAAGGGCGTTCCGGACTGGGCAGTTGTAAAGGGAGGTTGCAGTCATAGAGAACCTCCGCGATGTTGGACAGGCCTGTGTGAGAGTATCCGAACGTCCCAGAGGAGTGGAAGATATTGTTACAAGCTTGTAGACGAAGCAGCTCCATAAGATCGCTTGTAGCAGCGTCGACGTCGGTTCTCTTGCAAGTCGCAACAGTGAGGTCCGCCTCCTCCGCGTCGTCGATTTCGTCAGCCTCATTGGCCACATCTTTCTCGACGCCCCTGATGTTCTGGTTGTTCCCGATGTCGAATATCCCTATGCTATGAATGCCGCTGTACCGTCTAGCACAGTCTTCGAAGTCTGAGTGCATTGGCGTGTCGTCGATTTCAAAACTGAGAATCCCGCAACTGCCATACGGGACCTTCTGAGCCACAGGCGGGCGACCCATACGCCGCTTCCGTCGCTCGAAGGAGCACCTTGTTCTTAGAAGCCTGCATTGGCGACACTGATGCTCAATAGCGTCGAAGAGACATCGTTCCTTTCTACGATAGCATCCGTCGCAGGCTGTCCTAGGCATGAGAGTTGGATTCTGAGGGGCTCACAGAGCGTTCTAAGCTCAATCACAAGTGCAGTGAGATGACTAACTCTCAGGGAGAAGGAGGGGGGAAGGGCGGACTTGTAGTCGGGTTTTACAGCGCAATTGAACAATATCGTGGTCGAGATGGTGAGAGGGTAAAGGGGAGAAGAATCATGGCAGGAACAGCGAAGTGGGACGATATAAGTAGCAAGACAGCGTCGCTGTTGTGGAGACACACAGGGGTAGTGCTTTCACCAACATTCCAGGGTCAACACCCAATGCCCCTTGATCATGGCTCCAAGGTTGGAGGGAAAAGAAACAGACTGTGTCGTATCGGATTAATTGCACTGATGCCGTCGAAGTTGTGTAATGTGGTAACTACTACTAGATGATAATCGACTGCCGCCCTAAAATCTGTGTTATCCTCGCTGTACCCTAGACCTACTGTCCGATTGAGTCCCGGAGGATCTCCTGAAACCAGTTTGGCAACCCTCGAAACCCCGACAACCAGGAAGCTCGGGACGGGATGATGAGCTGAGCGCCGCGACGGGAGAATATTTGATCTGCGACAACCTTCGCCACGTCTTCAGGCTTCATCATCTTGTTGGTGCCGCCACGCTCAATCGCCTTCTTGTCATCCTTCGTCATGTCAGTGGCCACCCACATGGGATGTGCCACCGTTGTCAGCACACCTGGCGATCGATAAATATGCTTGATTTCGCTTGAAAGCCCTTCGTGAAACGCCAGTGCGCCTGCCTTTGATGCCGAGTAATCAACGGCTGTCGGTAGCGAGACGAAAGAAGCTATACTCGCAATTGTGACGATATGCCCCTTATTCTTCAGTATCATATTCGGTAAGAATGACTTAGTCGTATACCAGAGCGCCATAAGGTTTACCCCAAAGAGTTTTGACGCCTTCTCTGGAGATAAGTCGAGGATGGAGCTTCGATTCGCCATGCCAGCGTTATTGATCAGGATGGAGGGGTGGCCGACCATCTCTCGGATGCTATCTGCAGCCTCAGCCACAGCAGAAGCCGAGGAGACGTCGCATTTCCAGCAGAAGATGGTGTCAATATTTTGAAGCTCGGAGGGTAGTTCCGCTACATCAAGAATTGCGACTCGCAGGCCTCTTTGGACAAGGGCCAGGACGATGGCTTTCCCGATCCCATTGCAGCCACCAGTGACGACGGCAATTTCTTCAGACCAGCTCCAGTTTCCATGTACGAAAAGGCTCCAATTGTTGGTTGCACGAAGATTCTGGATGCGGTTCAAGATGCGACCCACCCCAAGAGCAACCAAGATCTTGAGGACTGTCTTAAGGCCCCAGACACCAATTCTGCGCTGGACGATGTCTGAGTTGGTGACTTGGGTGACGAGATGGGGCGGGCCGTACATTAAAAACGCAAGGGCTGATGCTGAAAGAGCCGGGTTCAAGACAGCGCCAACAACGATGTTTAGGGATTTGATAGCTCCTTCAACCAGAGTAGCCATAATCTTTGTTCGGTAAAGAGAGTAAGACGAAGATGTTGGAATTGATGATTGACTGGATGATGAGATGCATTCCGTCAATCCGTTTGGGTGCATATGCTCTTATTTATATCTAATTTTGGCACTCTCCTGTCGGACAACCCTCGCACATAATGCTAGCTTCTCATCGTTTTGCTGATTCCTTGGTTCTTTCTTCACTTCAACTCCTGTCTAATTATCGCACAGCAGTCCCGATGACCCCGGCAAGTTCCAACTACTTTTGGCATAGCGCGTTTCGCGGACAGGGCTCGTCGGCGACTTTCTTCCCAATACGGAGGCCTGTTGGAGTCGGGCTCGGTTCGGGTTCCACTGCCACTGCCTGCTCTCGCCGCATGACGGGTACGATGTGGGATGTTAGACCATGGGAGCCTGACCTCTACTAATTAATCTTGAAATCTTGCAAAAGACCTGACATTGATAAAACGACTGTGGACGAGAAAAACCATTAAAGCGTTCGCTATTTTCTGCCTTTACCTTTTTCCTAAGACCGCCTAATTTCCCTGTGTCTGCGCGGCTACTTTTCCTGTGTACTAAATTATTACTATTAGAGACGATAGTAGCGATTACGGAGGAAAGAGTATGACATGATATGTGGATCTCAGCCTCAGCACACGAATACGACGAGTACGACGAAAGCGACGAAAGCGACGAAAGCGACGAAAGCGACGAAAGCGACGAAAGCGACGAAAGCGACGAAAGCGACGAAAGCGACGAAAGCGACGAAAGCGACGAGAGCGATGAAAGCGACGAAAGCGAGGATAACAACCATAATGACCCAACGTAGAGAGCAGTCTGACATTGCCATCGTTAAAGCAGGAGCTTCAGGAACCAACACAGCCCGTATCATATGTCACCTCAAGCGCTCCAGTCATATGATTATGCTCAATCGTATTACAAGCCCAAGGACCCAAGCACGTCACGAAGACAAGGTACATGTCTAGAGAATTTATTTCACTACAGGGCTACGCTATTTGTTTTGTGATCAAGCCTAACCATGTTATGTTGTAGCTGATGGTCAGTCCTTGTAACCAGTGACGTTCCACTGCCGAGTGACCACTCGACAAAGTTCGTGAATGGCATAAACATTGTCCCTGCTCAATGTCAGGTTGCTCTGGAGTCTGACGCGTTCCTCCATGTCGAATTCGCGTTTGTTCCACATCTCCCAAGTAAGGAAGCTATGCGGGAGAAAGTTCGCGTGTTCAAAGTCGATGATGATGATCCTGCTGTCTGGGTTCTCTCTGTCCTCCATGATGAAATTGTGTAGGTTGAGGTCGCAATAACACAATTTCAGACCCTCAGGGACAAGGTTGGCCTGGATCATATCTGACCGTCCCTGGAGAGACAACCAGTCAGTGTCTTGTTGTTTCATATATGGCTGTGCCAAACATACCTCGACGATTTTTTTGTTTACGAACTCGTTGAGTTCTTCCAAGTTTGCAAACTCTCTCGGTGCATCGGAATCGTCCTTGCCAAAAGCCCAGTTCTTGATAAGGCCGCCCCCGACAGGCCCAGGGCTGACATCGCTGGGGGGTGGAAATGAAAGAAGGAAGGAGATTGCATCTGCGACCCGGTTCTTGAAGGGAGCTTCCTTTTCGGCAATTTCTTCAGCCGATAATTCAGTTTTGCCGGAACTCTGCTCTGCATGCTGTTCTTGGGAAGGCGATGCAGAGAGCCCCGGCGTCTCCTGTCCATGAGCCTGGCGCTCATTGTGCGTCTCTGAAGTAGTCGGTTCAGCCGATCCTTCTGTTCGGGTTGAGTGTTCGCCGCTCTTGTCTGCAGATTGGTCTTCAGAAGACACTACAGCAGACTCTAACTTTCCCTGTTCCTGCTCTTGATTTTCATGATGCCGTAGTAAAGCAGCCTGTTCGCTTTTCCTCCTCGTTTCCTCAAGCACAGCACGTACTGCTATAAGAGGGTCTGGTCTGATATCGCTTGAGATTTGGGCCACGGAGGTGCCCGTGACGTATTCCATCACAATAATGCCGTAAGGAAGCAAATGCGATTCATCAAAGCTTTGGAGTTTGACGTCAAGCTCTGTGTCGATGAAGTCGAAAACTCGCGGGACACGGAATCGCTGCCTAGCTCCCTCATCCATCTTGGACAGCTGTTCGTGTACGTAGTACTGCGTGTTGGCCTCTGCTCTCAAAGAATCGCTTTCATGTCCGTACTTTACCCAAACGAACACGCCCGCCGGCAGGCTTTTCGGAGAAAAGCGGAAGCCTCGCAAATTGTCGTAATACGGCCTTTTTGAGCATTCCGCGATATTTTGCAGCGTATTTTGGAACACTTCTCCGTGATCAGGCTTCCAGCCAGAAGGGATATCCATTTCCTGGGCGGGGAAAACTGTGCTGGTATCGTGCCGCGATGGGATGATGGTTTTCGCAGAGCAGCAGAGTGTGAAAGCTGTTGGGGCTTTGCTACCTTAAGTATACCTACCTCCTTGTACATATGTGGATACAGTGTGGGTTAAATTGTAGGTCGAATCTACTGTGCACACCCAGCGCTTAATACTTGGACTCCGATGGGTCTGTTGGTTCTTCTAATTTCATCCCAGTCTACCTTAATGAGAGAAGTCTTTCAAAAAATGATGATTCACGGACTGTGATGAGAATATTGCTAGTGCTTTGATAATATACTAATTTTAGTTTTGTTGCGCGGCCATTCGTGCCTCCCTCCTCCTCTTCTGCTTGTTTCTGATACAACAATACGCTGTGCAGCCCCCATGACCAGAACGAAAGTCAAGGGGGTAGCGATGATGATGACCATGAGCTGTTGACCCCACGCCCTGCCCCCCTGAGTTGGATCGCGACACGTAGCGTCGCATTCCGGGGTCTCGATCGCCGGCGAAGGATCGCCCGGGATCCATGATGCGATCGAAGCCCCGGACGGAAGATCGGGAGGGGACGGCGTCATTACGTCCTGGTCTGATTTCTCCCATGCGATATTCCACGCGGGCTGCATAAGCAAACCCTTTGTGAAGGGTACTTCTACATCATGAACGACGCCGGTATATGTCTCCTGATCTTGCACTTTCAGACTTCCAATGCAGACGGGGAAATTGATATCGTAGTTACGAGAGCCGGTGGACCACAACTCCTCGCCGCTATAGAACCAAAGAATCAGTGAATGAACACGGCTTATTCAGATAAGATAAAGTGGACCCTACGCTGCACAACAATATGCGGTAGTCAGAGGTACAGCTCGTTCGAGGACTGTCATCTCATGTGCATGCCATCCCTCTGGGCATACAGCGGGACTCAATATGCCTAGAGCTGGGCTTGCGAGGTTACCGTTCCAGCCTGTAGGCCGACACGATGCAATAAATGTACGATCATTGGGATCATGTACAAGTGCCTCCAGAGATGAGCCACTCCCTGTGACTTGGGTCCATTTGCGGCGTGTTTGGCAGTCGGATGGAATCGCATAGGGGGTTGTCAAAGGAACGGGAGTCTTCGTTGTGATTGTCGCAGTCATTTCCGCCGTCGATGCTGTTGCTGTTGCTGTTATCGTCGCCATGGTCACTATGTTGAAGATGTAAAACCGACGCGAATTGGACTCGAAAGATTGCCGGTCACATTAGTGAATGCGAAAGAAGGCTTACCGCAAACGCAATAATGCCAAACGAGTAGGTGCGACTTTAAATCATTAACAGCGAGAGATTAGCGTTGAACTGCACGCTGGGAAGCGTTGAACTGCATGCTGGGAAGCGTTGAACTGCATGCTGGGAGGGCTTGTGCCAGTTACACCCCTCTCGTTGTTCAGGCAGAAAGTTGCATAGGGGTTTGCAGGGTTCCTCAGATGCTACCTACCCTCAGTACGAATACATGGGGTCAGATGCAGCAGCCAACGGAGAAGTGTACAGAAAAGGGAATTTTTGACTTGGCGTTGGGTGCAGTAGAGACTCTTGCCACTGGTCGAGCGGCACAGTAATTCAGCTCGAACGACAAGTGATTTAACCGCCCTCCCGAAATGACCAACAGCAGACGAGGCACCAACACCTCATTCATGATGCGCATGTCCAGGACACTAATGATTCGTGGGAAAACACGCTGTTCATCAAAGAAGAAAAGGAGGGCGGTATTGGTCACGGGACTGTGTCTTGATACAGGGAAAGCAGTTATTAGGCAGCAAGCTGCCGCAATTATAGATTGGCGCAAGCATATTGTGGAAGTAACCTTTCATTGGGCAACCATGAATTCCTTCTTGGGAGTCCCGCCAATTTTGCGCCGATCAGGCTCACTCAGTGTTTCGGCCGTCAACTTTACAATAGTGTCCGGAATCGTCGCGACTGGCCAGTGATCGAAGCGGAACATGTGAACGTTATTGCGGTAGATGCCTTCCTTGGGCAGGGACTCGGCCACCCCATCGGCAACCTCACCCTCAAGAAATACCAAGACACAACCAGAGCCGCCATTCATGTCCATGAACTCGCCCATAAGTCTGTCTTGGAATTCTTTGCCAACTTCTTCTGGGACTTCGAGACCAGGGCATCTGTTCTTGATCTTGCCGAGAACAGCAAAGAGCTCTTCCAACTCCTTCTGATCAAGGGGTCTTCCGCCGCCACCTTTCTCGAATGGTTAAAATGCGACCAAGCTTTTCAACCATAGGAATATGACTTCCTCAGGGCTTTCGTCTGTGAACCTGAAATTTCCATCGTCAGCAGGATTTCTGACGAGTCCAAGCTCATCAACAACCAAGCAAACTGGAAATGTAGGCGTGCCCTGTTGTAAGAAGGATCCTCATGGAACTCACTTGTTAACATCTGCCACAATGTTCGTCAAGGTATCTCCGGAAGCACCCACAATTATGCTGTTCTTCGTATGTACGACATTGAAAGCGTGGAATTCACCATCGTCTTGCCCTACAACTCTAGCAGGACGAAGGTCAAAGTAACGTGCACCAGTGCGCAGCTTTGTGTACATCCCGGAAGCTTGAGTCTGCGTGGTATGTTTCGTGCCTGTTTTTGAGTTAACAGAGGATTTGACAGAAGACCTGAAGGGTACAGAGCAAAGCAAGTACGGCATAAAAGAGAACTCACCTTGCCATTTGAATTTTCCAATCTTGCTCATCCCAGAATCATGGGTACCAGGCATGATAACATCCTTCACAAGTCTGTTCCTGATGCTGTCGTAGATAGACCTCATCCAAGCGTCTTGCGTGTTCTCAAAGCTCAAAGAGTGATGGTAGCCGTATGTTTCACTCCCGGTGATGACAAATGAAAGAGAAACTGCTGAAATGAAGTCAGAGTGGCGAGAAAAGCTGTTGGTTCGACGTTCCAGCTGACGGTGAATCACAATCGCGAGCTCGTAGCCTCGTCTAGACTTCAGCCGAGGGCAATGAAAAAGACACCGCTACGGGGGCGTACTCTATGAAAGTCACAAGCCTCCTGATATTATGCTGAGACTACTGCAAAAGTCAACGACATATGGCAAAACTTTGGATCGGCTTCCACTTGAGATGGCTTACAACCTGACGGAAGGCTGTCGTTCACTACCTAGATAGAGCTCTCCATCAGATTGATAGTACCTTACATTAGTTTATGTTATGCATGTTCAAGTACGCATAGGCGCACGATGGCGGCAAGTAGATCAAGTAAACGGGGATTTTAAATTCCATCATTAAAAGAGGCATGGATGGACCATTCAACCCTCGTATCATGTTCTGAGGATAGGCTAGTTCTTCCGATGAGGGCCTCAATTGGAGACGGAAGAAGTTTACTTTCGGTTGAAATGCCTCCGGACTGTTCTGTTCCACGAGAAAGCTGCAGTGAGGAGGTTCGTGAACCAACGGTGCGTAGCATCGTTGATCCTTGGCTTTGGGGGCGGCCGTTTGGGGGAAGAGTATGGGTAGGTAGGTTGCATTGAACCGCCGAAGGAGGGTCCGAATTGCTACAAGGTTGAGAACTTTTATGAGACGGACATAAGGTCGCCTCTGGCGATGTAGAAAGAGGTTCATACCTCAAATAAGAGGTTGCAAAGTGTGCAGCAGCAAAGGAGCTGAAGCTCGCCCGGAGAAAGTTGCCACCCTGGTGCCGTCCAACTCGACAACAGATCGAGAAGGTCTTGTCTACATTGAATGAGCCGCAGTCATGCCTCATGTATCATCTTGCAGAATAGACACACCGGTTTAGGCCCCCAAGTCCATGTTAACGTTGCTACTACTGGGACATTGGCAATGTGACCAGTGGAGCAATGCGAGCCGGACGAACTCCATGGAAGGATCTGGCAGCCCGCTGATGCCAATGTAGCATTTCGGCTTTGTCAAAGACCAGCTAGGAATCACCTCGGGCCCCGTGGATTCGAAAATGCGGCCGAAACCTGGTGCGAAGGGACGACGTGGAAGTGATACAGTACAAGGACACTCTTCATATCGGCATGCCAGAAATGTTGTCAGTGCCCACCTACAGGACAACGTACAGCAGGAAGATTCTGATTACCCTGCCTTAAGTGAGTCGCTTTTGAGTATTTATTCATATTCACACGTGCACGCCATAGGAAATGCTGATGAAATCTATATGATGAACAAAACAGCGTCGAAATAGGATAGTGATGACTGCGAGTACTCTAGCGAATCATCAGTTGTCTTTGCTCATTCCGTTGCGTAGACAGGCTTGCGCGTCTGGTGCGATGACCTTCTAACAGCACCGATTTCCCATTCAATTCAGGAACCCAAAACAGCGCCGTAAATTTTCGTCAACTCTTCCATCATAGCCCCTCGCGAAGCATATATGTAATTCATCATAGCAGAGCAACATCTGAACCGGCTCCTACGTTAGGCTGATCTGTTGATCGAATACAACAGATGGCCCGAGCCTTCACATCATCGCGGAGCCCGAAGAGCCGTCGAGAAACATGCCAGCCCCATCATATGCCGCCAGACCAGGTATTGGGGGGAAGGACGGCGCCTGCCAGCCTGCCCCCATCTCGACATGAGCCGATTGCGGAAAGAGGGGAAAGTCGTGGCCGAATGACAAGGGCTGTGGTATTCCAGGCGCACAGGGAGACATGTCGAATCCGGCGTCCTCAGTACCGAAGCCAATGATCGAAGGCGATGCCTCCGTGAACACGGGTGACTCGAAGCTCGATGTGGTCATGCCTGTATCGCAACGGCTGTTGTCAACCACGAGCGAGGGAACCTCAGATGTAGTCGTTGAATTAGACAAAGATCTGGCCAATTCGAACTCGGTGAGCAAGTCCAGCCCGTTCTGGCATCTGACCTGCCCCGCAGGACTGATCTGCTGCCGCATGGTATTTTCCAGGAAATTCCGGAAATCGGCAAGAGTTAAGTTATTTGTCGGTTCATCACGATCTGGATAGGAAAGAAACAATCAGTCAAATTACCAGACTACGTGGCCACCCGCGGCTGGTAAACTTACAAGGAGATGGGACGGCGTCCAGCGGGAAGATGGTCTTGTAGATCTCCGTCCACTTGGCGGCGCCCTCCATTCCACGGTTCCTCTCCTGGATCTTTCCCCACTGCGTTTCGTCGATGCTGTCATCTCCTGTGTCCTCCTGCTTGATGCAGTGGACGTCGGAACGCTGGTGTTCAGACAGCCTTTTTAGAGAGGACCATCTCTGGAGACAGCAGTTGCACCTGTGGCCTTTGACCCGGTGTACACGCTTCAGGTGCTCCCTGGTTATATCACCATTAGCCACAGGATGATCCAGCGTGAGAGAGTGGGTTGTTAGTCTTACTTTAGTCTGTGAATCTCCCATCCGGGACCACCGCATGAGTTCCACTCCTTGGTGCCGTATTTCTCCTGGTCATGCTTGAAATATGGGCACGCAAAGAGTTCTCCGGAGGGTTTGTCAGTGGGAGACCTAGGGGACGCGGACTTCTGGCGCTTGCTTTGCGCCGGCGATCCCGATTCCGCATCTCGTCGCCTTTTACCGCGTGGAGATTTGGGACTGGCCATTGGGATGGTATGGGATACCGGATTCGCCACAGCCAAGTCGCTGCCGAGTCCCAGACTTGAATCGCCAAAGGACTGCTCAGGCGCCGCCCATGTCGAAGACCTCCCGTCCGGTTCCGGATTGAAGCTGGGTGGAGCCAGCTGGTGGGAATCCAGCGGCCATGTGCCATGGTTGTAAGGAAGCCGCATCATGTTTACGCTGATGGATCGCGGGGCTTCCGCATGGTCAATCGTCTTGGGAACCACGGCCTTATTCGCCGCATGAGGGTCAGGCTTGGCGTACTCCGGCTCATCAGAGCACTTGCGATGGATCTCCCTCAGCCTATCCACGAGCTGGGCACTAGTGATCCGCTTGTCGCCATCCACCTCTAGCATGTCATTCTTGACCAGGTCGAGGAGGTCGTGGATGAGAGGGCTGGCGGTAGGAGATTGGTGAAGCTTGTCGATCCACTATGCCATGAACGTCAGTGAACCGTGAACATCTCTTTGGAATAGGGAATGAAAGGCCGCCATCTTACATGTGTCACAGCAGGCTTGACCCGCAGCCCGCTGCCCTTCCTCTTGTCCCGGGCCTCGAAGAAGGAGTCATCGACCTTGCCATTCACCCGCGACGCAGCATCGCCACGCAGTGCGCGCTTTGCACGAAAGCTGCGCACGCCCTTCTTCCCCAGAGCCATCCACGTCGCAGCGACGCTCATCACACACCCGAGCGACCACATGTCCGCCTGCTGCCCGTCGAACTGCCCGCCGTCATGCTCCGGGGCGCGATACGTCGGCGAGAATCCCAGCGGCCTTTGCTCGGGCTGCTGACGGACGGACGAGAGCCCAAAGTCTGCGAGTTTCCAGCGTCCGTCCATGACGAGGATGTTCTCGGGCTTGAGATCGCCGTGGTAACCGTGCACGGCGGCTGCAGCGCCGACAGAGCCACCGGCAGTCTTGTTGCGGCTCTTGACGCGCCAGTAGTGGATCGCCTTGAGGGCCTCCGCGATGCCGAGCATCTGCTTCACGGTGAGCGCCGCCTGTCCCTCCTCTTTGGGGGCGTCGGTTTGGGCCAGGAGGGATTGTAGATCATTATCGGCCCAGGGGAGTACGAGGTACGGCGTCGAGCCGTGTTTGAAGGCTGTGAGAAAGGGACTGATGTTTGGGGCGTCGCTGAAGCGCTTGAGGGCAGAGATTTCGCGTTCAAAGATGGCTTCGTCGGACGAGGATTCGAACTGTTTGACCGCGAAAAGAGTGCTGCTCTGGTTCCGCTATTAGCGCCATGGGAGAATATTGTCTAGCATAGACTTGTCATACCTCTGATGCACCAGGATCAAGATGAGCCGGGTGAACGCGAACTTGGTAGACCCTCGAATGGCCGCCTTGCTGTATCACCGGCGCCACAGGCCCATCCCAGACAAACGGCAGAATAGTCTTCTGGTGGAAGAGGCGTGGCTCGCCCTCGGCGCCCAGCTCCTCCATCACAGGCACGCAGACCCTCCACTGCATCTCCTCAAACGCCACGACCTCATCCCACCCGAGCCCCGCAAGCGCGAGATCGAAGCACTTGGAAGCACTCAGCGATCCGACGACCGTGCTGCCCTCCGCAGTCGGCTCCAGGGGCAGGTCGCCGTCGCTGATGGAGTTGTCCATGAACTTGAAGATCGCGTCGGCGCGACCAATCAGGACCAGGATCGCAAAATTCTTGATCAGCGCCGGCGATTTCTTGAAGATGGTCTCGGCGAAGATGCTCCGGATCTCCTCCGTGAAGCCGGGCGCGCATTCCCGTAGTGTCCGGAGCGCCGATGCGGGGGTGACGAGCCGGTGGAGCTCGTCGTTCGGCAGGAAGGACCGCGCGGGGTCGGCGGCGCCGAGGGGGAGGGTCGTGCACATGGCCGCTTCGAGCTGTGCCTTTAGCGGCAGCGACGGCGACCCATCATCGTAGACGTGCGGAGGAGGCCCCCAAGACGCTTCGGTATTCGATCCATTGTTGGTGATAGCTATGTTCATGCCGGAGTGGGTTGTTGAATTGGGTTTTCTTGGCGTGGGCTGTACAGAGACTGACTGATTCAAAGTCGATTAATTGCTTTCCTCAGGATGTGCTGGCCGGCGGGGCATCGCCACGCTTTATGAACATAGCCTGAGTGAACGAGCTGACATGCTGCGGATGGGCGTCATGGGCGCAGGGAGGGAGCCAAGCTGGACTCGACCAAGTTTTGTGCGATTGCCTTAAAAAGGCAGCCGAATTGCCTGCAACAACATACCTCAACAACAGTCGGTGTCGGCAGCATAGTGATGCGTGATAACTCGCGTCTGCGTGTTTACGCACCGCGTACATGACTGCTGCACCGTCTGTGGCTTGTGCAATCCAGGGCGCGAGGGTCTGCTGGATTCCATTGGCTTCGTAAGCTATGCACAGCCCCGTACTGAGCGGGCTTCGCCGCCCGACTCACACGGCCATCATCGACTCGGAAGCTCTGCTGCTGGTGCCAGCCCCATTTCAGTCCTCTTTGCCGGACAGTCATACTAGATGGTTCTTCTCAAACTGGTGGGTTTGGTCCGCGAAACAGACAGAGCATGGTTCGCGAACCATGGGGAAGCACAGAGATCTCTTGCTTCGAGATTGAAGCTTGTTTGCATGCTCCCATCCTTCATGAACAAGGGAGACCCCTGCCAAAAAACCACCCCGGAAGCCGTCCCGGACTGCCATCGAACGAACCTAACAATTAACGACCTTAGTCATACCTTAAATCTCCTAATCGTGTACCGAAATCCCGCCCGGCGCCTCTTTGACGAAACCCAAACTCGAGATGCAGTTCATGCTTAAAGCAGCACCGTTCACCAACAAACCTTATCAATCCTCGATGCATATGTCATCTCAACTCCCTTTCCTCTCTCACTCCCGCATCAACCGCAATGTCCCTAATCAAACCCAAAGCCACGGCCACGTTCATGGAACTGGACACACAACCAACAGCAACAGAGAAAACCATTAGCTAATCACCAGAGTCCCTCCCAAGCAAAGGATCGGTGAGCACCGCCAAGAAAACGCCAAGGAAACCCACGCCCAGTCGCCTATCATTTCGCACCACGCGACCCCATCCTCGACGGTATTCTTTTTCGCTCGCCCGTGTGTGCCTGCCGCCGTGTGTTGATGTAATCCGCAGCAAGCTGGCTACCTTAGGTGAGGGAGAAAAAAAAGCCAGTCCACCCCCGCACATAACACATTTCGCCCTCGTCTTCCCCCGTCTGTCCTCTGCAACGATGAAGCCGGGCGCCAACGTCGAAACCTCAACATAACCAACACCCTTGAAGAAGAAGACGACGTCACTGGACAGACGAGTGTGACATGGTCGGATCCGCCGTCCCGCAAAGCCTCGAGTGAGAGCTGTCTTTCCACCCCCCAAAAATCCCCACCGCCGCCGCGCCGCTGGCCGCTCACATCTGCGCGACGAGCCTTTTCCTCCTGCGCCGTGCTGCCGTCTTTTCCGGGCCACCCCAGACGCACCCAAGACATTACTACCTCTTACGCACTCATACCTACCTACCAACGCATTCACTCATACACGGCCGCGCCGTGAGACGCGAAAGGCGCCTGCTGCCGCCCAATCGGCCGCACTGAAGAAAACAGTAACCAGTGTGTCATCGGTTTCCACGGCTCCCCGGAAGCGAAGGCCGTCTTTGTCTTGGCTTTGGGCCTCGCGAACGCGGCACCAAAAAGTCTTGGCCTGCCTGTCGTCCAGCAACTCCAAAGACGCAGAACATACAACCAAAACCACAGAAAGCCGGGGGAGAACCGAATAATGAGACCGCTCCCCCTCATGGGGTCCCTCCTCGCCGCGGGGATCGGTCCCGGGAGCGGCGTCCGGCCCGCCCTCGCAACGGTCCCCATCCTCACCGAGGTCGCCCTCAAGGGCTGCGCCGACGTGGGCTGCCCGGCCGGCGCCGTGCACGACCTCGTCGGCGAGTCCAACTGCACCCTCGGCGGCTCCGTCCTGCGCCGCGTCGGCATCGCCCCGGAGGTCCTCGACATCCCCATCGACAACAACAACATCACCGACATCCGCAAGCTCTCCGTCACCGTGGCCACCCTGCACAACGGCCCCGCCACATCCTCCTCCTCGGGGTCCAACTGGATGAAGAAGCAGGTCTACACGCAGTCGTACTACCTCGGCGCGCCCGCCGGCCTGAACCTGTCCTCGCCAAAGTACCCCAAGGGCTGCGCGCTCATCTTCCAGCACCTCTTCCAGACGCTGCCGATCGCGCACGAGGTCAACGACGACGAGACGACCGACTGCTCCTCGTGGCTGCAGCAGAGCTGCATGGACGAGATCACGGGCTACGTCGACGACTTCCGCGCGGAGCACGCCAAGGACGAGGACCTGCCGCGCTGCCAGGAGGTCGCCATGTACCTCGAGGAGCGCACGCGGACAGACAAGAGCTTCCACTGCAACCTGATCGCGGGCGCGGTGAACATCACCGGAGCGGAGATTATCGGGCCCGACGCCCCGGACACGCTGGCGCAGGACGCCGGCGCAAATAACGGCTGCCATCCGACGCTGCCGGCGGCGTACGAGTTGATGAAGCTGACGGACGTGGAGCTGATCCTCGACGAGGACGGGGGCACGACGACGCCGACGGGCGGGTTGAACGGGTACACGCCGGTGATGAGCGTGCTGTTCGACGAGCTGCTGTATTCGCAGTGGATCTGCATGAAGACGATGAGCGAGTTTGAAAGGGAGAGCACGGCGGCGCGGAGCACGCCCCTGATGGCGGGGCTGGTGATGGGAGCCGCCACCCTCATTGCGCTGTTAATGCTGTGAGGGAGAGAGCACGGTGTGCGGATGAACGAGAATGGTAGCGATCACAAGAGGCAAAACAGGACTGGCCCGAAATATTATGACTTTATGCGATATATACCCAATGAAATCATGGCGATAGATATGATGCGCCCTACCCAAGACCGTTCCTCCCGTTTCCTGAACGCCGGTGTGCATGCATGATCTGTCTGCTAGGTATGTGTAGATAATGTAGATAACGTAGATTTAGATGATAATGCCTCGTTGGACCCATCCATTCTTGCCCTTCCAGGCGTAGAGGACCATGCCGCAGGCCACCCAGACGGTGACGGCCATGGCCCAGAATGTCGACGCATAGCACTGCATGCCATAGCAAAAGACGTCTCCGCCCTCTCCGGGTGAAGGCGACTTGGTGGCGCCGGACTGGTAGATGGCCGAGTAGACCAGACTCCAAATCGTCGAACCCAGAGCGGGGAACATGGCGACGATGCCCCAGTTGGTGGCGAAGTTTTCGACGCCCCAAATGACCGTGATGATGATGGGCGTCAGGCTGAAGACGGCTCCGTAACCAGAGCCGACGAGACCGGAGACGATCCAGAAGCGTTCGCCGTGCTCCTGGATGAAGCCGGAAGCGAGAGCCACGAGACCCAGCGATAGGATGATGGCAAAGAAGAGGAGGAACGCAACACGGGAAATGGCTAGTCTGCCGCGAATATACGGTGGGCTCGAGGACACCTGCAGATGCTGTGTCTGGGGAGACGGGGCGAGAAGATCGGTCAAGGTGCCCGTCGCCAGTCGTGCGACAGTGCTGGTGATACCGACGATGGACACATGCGTGGCCGCTGACGTCGGGGGGCCAACGTATTGCCGGGTAGGGGGGTACAACGTCCCGATGACGGTTCCGAGGTTGTTGATGAAGGCCTCGCCAGGCCCAATCATCAGCAGGAAGCCCAGGGCAAAGTACCACATGGTGCGGTCTGTGAGGAAGCTTCGTGTCTCGGCATTAAGGACGAGCTTCTTCTTCAGCTTTGCATCGTCCTCGGCCGGCCCCAGAGCTCCGCCATCCTCTGCGTCGGCAATCTGAGAGATGGCGCCGTATCCCCTGCCGCCGCTGCGAGCACTCAGGAATGACGTGCTGCGCTCCAACAGACCGCTTCTCTCGAGCTCCTCGACAGCTTCCTCGATAATCTCCTCCTCGTCGACAACCTTCAGAGTAAAGGCGCCGACGATTCCAACAACCAGCAAGAGAATGGAGAGGAAGACAAAGAAGTGGAAGACGTCCAGGTCCCCAGCCGATCCGTCCGGCAGCCTCTCGTAGAAGACACGGCTGCCGAGCTGGCTGAGCCACATACCACTCAGTCCAAACGCAGCAATGGGCACCGCCAGAGCCAGTCCGCGATGCTTGCCCTTGCCAAAGTTCTTCGCACAGGTTGCGACGGCGGCGAGGTACATGGAGCACGTACCGACACCGACGCAGACGAACGCAAAGATCATCAGGGGATACGTCCAATCGGGGCCGCCCGAGATGCGCCTTCCGGCCATGTCGCGTAGACCTCCAAAGTTCTCGTCCTCGAGCTGGCGGTATGTGCCCGCAGCAATGGCATATCCTCCACCAAACAGTATCGCGGCCAGCAACGACAGCGGCGGAGTACCGACGCGGTCGCAGATGTAGCCGAGGATGGAGACGGGCAGGTAGAGGGCGATGGAGCTGCTGATGGCCAGGCCGTTGACCTGGAACTGGGTGTAGTGCAGGCGCTCTTGGAAGATGTGGCCGTACATGGAGAAGACGGTGATGGAGCCGGCGCAGAGGGCGGAGACGAGGGCGGCGACGAAGGAGATTGCTCTCCAGGTGGTCGCGGAGCGGCGGCTTAGGCGGCGGTGGGAGGAGCTTCGGTGGAGGAGGTCGAGGGAAGAGCGCGAGCTCAGGCGGCTGATAGTAGAGGAGGCATCGTCGTCGTCGGGAGGTGCTGCGACGAGGGTCCGGTCATCGGACGGGGTCGGCGGGCTCGAGGCGCGCGCCATGATGATGGATCAAGCTTCCGGACTTGGGATGTCGGCAACGGTGGAAGACTGCGATTGGAGAGGCGCCGGCGTCGGCGGTCGGGAGCGTGACAGATTGAGGATCGGACAAGAGGGTTGATCGAGTGGAAGAAACAAAAACAGCCGCTCTTCCTCCTCCTCCGAAAATGCAGGACGGGACAATCGGGCCAGACCACGCAGCGGAATGGATTGCAGAAAGACGAGGAAGGAGAGAGGTTGGAACGGATCAGAGAAGAAGGCAGAGAGGAGGAGTCAGGAACATGACGTGGAGACGGGAAGCCGAGAAGGAGATGCCTCGGGAAGGGCGCTGACTGGGGAAAGGCCGACCGACGGGCAATCGAAATCGAGATGGAGGGTAGCAAGCAGCCAGGCACGGCACGGCAACGGCACCTGGAGGAGGAGGAGGCGACTTGGGTGTTTTGCTGCTTGGTGGTGGTGAGTCGGAGTCACGATTTCGCACGTCAGCAGGTCACTCGGTCACTCCTGTCGCATACCACCGCCGCGAATGATGTCGTGCTCGACCCCCAAGTGGGCCCTTCCCTGCACCTCTCAGCACCCATCTGCCCTTCTACCGCAATCCGTCCAGGGACCGCCTAGGAGCCGCCTCGGGCGCTGACACGAGTCTGCAGCGCGTTCGCCGTTCGCCTCACAGCACAGGGCCGCCGCTGCTCAGTGGACGCCTCTAGGGGGGCGCACCCGGCTGACTGGCTGCTGTAGCGCCTGCAGACGGGCACCTGTCCGAAATCCGATCGCGGGGTGCAGGAACCGGCGGCAATTCGATGCTTACATAAGGCAGCATGGTGCCTGAGTGGCTTACCTAAGTTACCCAGGTAGCGAGATCGGACTGTCCACTTGGATGCCTGGATGCGATGCAGTCGTGACAATCCTACAGCAGGGTAATAATCCTACAGCAACGGCAGGCATGGATCCAGTCTGGATAAGTAACTTAAGTGGATGCTCAAGCGAGGCCAGTGGGCAGACAGGTGAGGCAGTCATCTGCCTGCACCTCCCTCCAACTTGGATCCATGATTCCTCAACCACCAAACCACAAACGACTGAAAGGCATCCACGGGGGGCGCATCCGGAACCATGGAAGCCAGCACAGTGGTCTGCGCCGTGTGTCAAAGCTCCATCTTGTCCATGGACTTTGCCAACGAGAACATGGGGGAGGAAGCACCCCACCACCCAAGCTTAGAGAGCCTGAGAAGATCCATGGAAGCCGGATGCCATATCTGCACCACCTTTTGGGCTCTGCACTCATCCAAGTTGAGGAAACCATCCGACGATGTCAATGCCGAGCTGGACTGCGAGTTCGATACGACAAGCCTTTTATTCCATGGCAACTGGCCTTATGGCGGATTCCTGGCTGAACGTATTGGTGTTTGTCCGAATTTCAAGGCAAGAAATAGCTCATGGGAGGACGAGGCTGTTTTCTTTTTATCCCGAAAGAACCGTGAGATGTCCTCCCGGCAGTGATGTCTATATGTTGCATTCAGCCTAGATATCTGACAACTCTGCCAGCGGAATTCCGGTGCAAAGAGCTGCCCCAACGTACAGACTCTGAAAGTACCTTCTCAATCGCGAGGCGGTGGATAGATCGATGCATCAAGGAGCACAAAAGGTGCAATCCACCTCGACAAAAAGATGCAGCGCGCTTTCCAACGCGGCTCCTGGACTGTGGAGACCCCAACGACCCAGCAGCGCATGTACGCTTGGTCATTTCCGCCGAAGAGTCTATTGCAGAGCCTTTCATGACGCTGAGCCACTGCTGGGGCTCATCAGACTGTCTTGTCCTCACCACTGACAACATCGAGGCATTCCGACGGGAAATACCTGCAGACCAGCTTCCCCAGCTCTACCGAGATGCCATATCCGCTACCAGGCGCCTCTGCGTCAGGTACTTATGGATCGACTCGCTGTGTATCATCCAGAGAGGAGACGACAAAGCGGATTGGCTGGTCGAGTCGACGCTCATGGATCAGGTCTATTCCAACTCGTACTGCAACATCGCCGCCGTTGACGCCCAAGATGCAAACCAATCACTTTTCACCTCTCGCAATACCAAAGCCTTCAGCCCACAAATCGTCCAAGGCACTTACGACGGTTCTGTTGGAGAATACAAAGCGTCTGCATTCCAAGGATTCATGCAACACCTAAATGATTCAGCCATCAACAACAGAGGCTGGGTCTTCCAGGAACGGACCCTGTCTCCTCGTGTGCTGTACTTTGGGCAATGGCAAATCGCATGGGAATGCTGCAGCAGACAAACCACAGAGGGGTTTGAGAGTTTCGACAATCACGAAGCCTACAGTAATGTGGTCACTTTCCATCTGATGGAGCCCGATACAGCTGGGTACCGCTTGAGCTGGTGGAATTGCGTTGACAAATACTCAACGTGCGCCCTGACGTTCCCCCAGGATAGGCTCCTCGCCATGTCTGCCATTGCGAAACGGATCAGGTCGTTCACCGGCGACGAGTACGTTGCTGGTCTGTGGCGGAGCACCCTGGAGCAAGACTTGATGTGGAGAACAGTGAGAGAGAGCAAGGCGCCAGAGACGTTCACATCATCCGCGAAGAGGGAAGAAGAAGCTGCCCGTGCTGTTCATATAGCGCCTTCGTGGTCTTGGGCAGGTCCCGGAAAAGGGACTTCACGTGTAGTTCGTCATTCTTCCGTGGAAAGGGCCGAGGCTTTGTGCAATGTGCATGATTTCCACCTCGAATACGTCACGGGCGACACAACAGGCCTGATCAAGAGCGGCTATCTGCGACTTTGGGGCCAGCTCAGACGTGTTGAGATGCTGCGTATGGGGCCCTTTTCTGTAGACAAGTGGATGAAGGTACATAAGTGGAAGATTTATATCGGCGGCGAGCTCATCGAAACCATGGCCCCGATCAAAGTATATCTGGACTCCCCCACGACGACGGCGTTCGACAGCCAGGACACTCCTACGACACGATATTATCTTCCTACGTTTAAGAGTACCTCACCTTGGACGCTTTGGATGCTACTCTTAGAGGTGCATGACTCCCAAAAAGGGGTGTATCGTCGCATTGGCACTATGAAAGTGTCCAAGTACTCATGGAAAGATGTTGACGAGATGGATCCTCGATTTCTCGCGGCCCAGGAGGACGAGGAATTTTTCCCTTGTGAAGAATACCGTGACGGCCAGCATTTAGTACGCCTAGTGTAGCAGCGACTTTCTTCAAACATTCGATCAACTATCATGCAAGTACAGCACGAAGACGCCTCAGTTTTCTCTTATTCCTATGAATCAAGAGATCTGCTATCAGTGAGAACAAGATGTAGATCTTCTCCGAACAATTCGAGTCCCGCACGCCTCGTGCTGCAGTCCAAGGGGGAGTTGATGGAATCCATAAAGGCACGAGTGTGTAATGAAGTGTGGCAGCTGGCAGCAGGTGGGCTGCAAACAGACGATTGGATGATCGGAGGCCCGTTTATTTGCGTCCGAGCTTCCCGGTCTCGACGGGAGACGCTCTTTCACCGAAGCTTCACCTTCCGATATGAGGTCAACACCAAGGTGAGTCCCGGTGAGGTCATCCCACTCCAACGACCCACTTTCTCAGCTCGGAATGCAACGCCACGACGGACGACATCCTTCTCTCCACCAAAATGCGGGTGCCCCTCCCTCTCCAGATCTCCATCAATTCGATGACATTCTAAGCAAAGCAAAGACCTGTCCCCGCAAGATGACCAAAAACGATCCCGTGAACTTGCTCTCTGAGCAGTTCTCACGCCTCAAAGCCGACGACCAGGCTTCCGAAATCTTGTACCGCCGCGCCAACCTGCAGCACCTCGTCGACAACTTATCGCCATGGGAGCTCGTCGCTCTCAGGACCATGGTCAACGCAAGAACACCTCAAATGAGCTCCATGTCTGACCTCCCCAGCGAGCTCGTCTCCATGATTGCTGAGTATCTGACCACGAAGGATGCCCTTGCCTGCGCCGCCGTCTCCAAGGGATGGCGCACCGTCTGGACTGAGCCCTCCGTTGCCAAGCATCTGGTGACTACTCACTTCCCGGAACTGTCCGCGCTGCTTTCTCTGCCGTCCTCGCATCCGTACGCCAGTGATTCACCGTGGAAAACCTTCGTCACCGCCGCAGGCAAGACAATACCCCGCATCGATGGAAGGTTCGTCTCCACGGTCGCCGTGAGCGAGATGCTCTACGAAATTCTGCAGACCAAAACATTCGAGATGGACGAAAAGACCGTCGCGTACGTTGAGGGCGCAATCGAAAGAGGCTCCCGTCCTTCGGAGCACACCGAGAGGCACTTTGCATACTCCAGCGGGCGCCTGGCCTGGCATGTTGACCCCTATGCTATATTCATCGACGATCTACGCAGAACAACCAGATCCCTTGTCGCGATACCGGATCTGGTGGAAAAGGGTGAGAGGGATTTTGTCATCTGGACCATGACTGAGAACATTATCATCTTCGTAGACCGCGCTACCGACCGCACCATGTAAGTTGCGGCTCCCACCCCCCGTGAACTATTCAGATGCTAATCGGGAAAAAGGATCGTGTACCACATGGATAAAAAGGAGTTCCGACGCGTCACCCTCCCAAATCGCGTCAAGAGAATCACTGCCCATGCAGAAGCTGCAGTGCTTGAGTTTTCCATCAACAACCCAATCTACGCCGTTCCGCATGTGTTCCGCTGGGGAGTCGGCCTCGCGAAGCTGCAACTCCTTCCTTTTACGAGAGATGCTGAGGATTATGAAGAGGTGGACATTGACCGCCCAGAGGGTTTCATGTTTCATCCTACTGAAAGCAACGTGATCTACTACTTTGCACATGGAGAGGAAGATCGTAAGTTTCGCTTCCGACAGTCTTCTGGCGCACTTCCGTGCGTATCCCTGCTAAGCCAATCTCGCTGCTAACAATCAATCGTACTGGTAGCGTTTCTAGAAGATTCCGTGGATAGCGAGCTTCAACTCGCCATTACCGTGTACAAGTTTGTGGATTTGAAGTACACCAAGTCGTTCCGGCATGATTTCCATTTACCTATATGCGTGTCAAACCCCGATTGTGGCTTTGTATACGTTCGGTACGGCGAGCCAATCACGTCACACGGGCTCTACGGCTTAGTCCAAGCTATTCCCGATGAAATGGCGACTCCTGACCTTCCCGTCTTCCGGTACAACTTCGACACGCTCACGGAGACGTTTTCGGAAACCGTCGAGTTGTACAAGCTCGGCATGCGGCGGCCCGTATGGGGAAGGCCCGATGGCAGCCCGGAGACGAGCGGCGGCCGCAGGTGGAACGGACAGACATATTACCTGCAGAAATGGCGGCCGCACGAGGACGGGCCCAGGATCTACCAGTTCACCGAATGGGCCGGGAAGGTCTGGGGCTACAGTGCGGTATGCGTGGCCGACGAGTCTTCAACTCTGGTCTTGGGCCCGCTGCACGAGAAGGTCTTCTACGACGGTTTGGGAATCGAAGAAATCGCCGTCGACGACGAGTTTGTAGTCGGGATGAGCCCCATGGGCTACATGGTCTGGAACTTTGGGGTGCGGGGCGCAGACCGCGAGCCGTGGCAGCTCAACGACGCCTCGTCTCCCATGCTGACGCGGTACACTGACGCCGATCGCCAGTGCCCTATCAAAGGCTGCAAAGGCCCGGGGTCCGCGAAGGCGTGCTACATCTGCGGGATTATGGCTCGCGATATGGATCAGATCTCGGGTGTGTATGCTGCCATGCAATCTGCATTCCATACGGCTTGGCCTCCGGCAGGTGGCAATTCCGATTACGACGATGAAGATGATGAAGATGACGATGACGACTTTGATGACGACCTCATGTACGGCGATGATTTTGATTGAGCCTCGACTATTGTGGATAAAACCTGTTGGAACTCAACCAGTGCCAACCAAGATATACTGCATGTTGGCAACGTCAGGAGTTCAAGAGAAAGAAAGGTTCATGCTGGGCAAAGCTTTGTGTGAATATGTTATTTAAAGTCAACAACCGATAACTAGTTTCTCCTTTTGTGACTTAAGCGATGTCCTAGGCATCCATGGATGGCAGATCAATGCTGGCTGTCCGGCTAAAATGCTCGTTTGCTCAGACTCCCTACCGTGCCGCATTCACTTCCGCCAAAGGCGACCAACCTCATGCATGCCAAGTCAGGCGTAGCATATTAGCACTTTCCATTGGCGGTGATATTATCCGTTGGACCATGTCCATGCCATGTCAACTTCCAACAACATGCCAGTGGTTAACGTTCCTTTGCCCCTTTTCAAGCTTTTGCCAAGTACTAGTTTTCAACACGCGCTTGCGAGAAGCAACAACCCAACTTCACACGTCAAGCCTGAACTCCGACTACTTCACGACCACTTTTCAGTTGACAGCATCTCTTGACGCTTGCGGATGCCATCAACATCTGTCTATTTAGCATCCCAGTCGACTCTGCTCCCTGAAAATGGATACACCGACTACAACCGCAACTCCTCTTCTTCTCACAACCCCCTTCGTGGTCCCGCCTCAATGCCAAACGCGTCGTCAATGGACCAGATTCCATGCCGATGGAGATACCGATGAAGGCGACGTCGACGCAATCTATATAGACTACACCCAAGCATCGTACAGTTCATGCAGTCCCTCAAACCGTATTCGCAGCCCTGCCGTGTGCCCAGAAAGATGGCACGCCCACGCAATGACCGCCTTCTCAAGCGTCACGAAAGCCTACTGTTGCGCACCGTAACGCCCCCTTAGCGCTACCCTTCGAGGTCTCTTCACCGTATGACATGATCTCCCAGCGGCGAGAACGTCTGGCCAGACGGCAGCCCCCCCGACTCCATTAACCATCCCATCTCCATCGGCACACTCCTCGCCCAAGACCACGTCACATACACAGGCGTGGGCGAGGAGGAGCGCTTCACCGCGGGCCTGATGATCCAGCCCGCGTGGGTGATCAGCTGGGACGAGACGGACAGGGCGACGCTGACGCCGACGCCGCCCGAGCTTCCCGTGGGAGCGTATGTGGACCACTGGGTTCCCAGTCGCCCTGAGCCGACGGGTGATTTATGTCAAGATGACATTTGTCGAGATCCGAGTCAAGGAGGGTACGCCCTTCAGAAGCAGATGATGATTCTGATTACGGTGCCTCCGATTGTGTTTTTCTGTGTCGTTGCGGAGTGTGGGTTGTGCTGCTTCTTTGAGAATCAGAAGAAGGCTAAGAGGAGGGCGGCGCGTGAGCAGCAGGCGCTGCGTGAGCGACAGGTGCAGACGACTTTGTAATCTTGGGGTGGAATGACTTGGGATGTTTAGCTACCGGATATCAAAGACCCTGGAAAGAGATGGCATGGAAGAAATACCGCGCTCGTTTGTTGAATAGATCTTGATGTTGCCAGTAACGAGATTGAGAGTCAAACAGGCTTCGAGTTATCTGCAGGTGGAACATATGTCATGAAGAGAAAGCGAAAGGCTTTACTGAAGCCTTTTCTGTATAGCTTTCAATTTATGTTTAGTCTTGTAATGTGACGCATCATGTAAGGTGCTTTGAGTTCGCGTGGATGTCCTTCGTCTTAGTCCCCCGACAGGCTACAGCCAGTCCGCTGCATTACTTCGACTTGATAGAGACCATTGATATTCTTTGAATTCACCTAAAAATGAATTTGGCTACTTAAGGTAGATTGTATAGATGGTTAATACCTTACGCAGATAGCCTGCAACGGTTTCACTATAAGATTAAATAATAGAACACCTAAAGGCTCACCAATGAAACTTGATTTCAATTCAAGCCGGAGAAAATAAGAGCTCTCCATTGATGTGAAGTTCAATAGTTCGCTAGCGGTTTACGGAACAACCCCGCTTAGTAACGTCCATCAAACGCCTCCGGAACAACGACCCCTTCCTCCTGGCCATACGTCGTATCGCTCGTATATCGATATACACTAACCGACGCCAGCCCTAGCCCCCCAAGCATCAAAGTCGCGTACACGATGGCTTGATGGAGAAACGAGACATATCTTGAATCGATCCCAAAGGCAGTGGCCGTACCGAACGCTTGAACACCCTTAAAGTACCCGCTGTACCGGCCGAGCGTCCGCGGATCGTTTGAGAAGGTGCTATACACCCATATCAAGAAGTTTTGGAAGATCGGGTATGAAGTGCCGAGGAACATGTAGAGTGCAAAGGGGCCGGCGAAACGTCGGGCATCCGTCCAGTCGATGCCGATGACCGGACCGGCACGGTCAAAGTCGTTGGAGGCAAGAAAGACCAGAAGAGCGATCCAGGTGCCGCCCATGATAACGGCAACGAAGGCGGCGGAGATGAAGGCGCGACGGCGACGGCGGCCAAAGATGTTTGCGTCGCATGTCCATGCGATGGCGGCTGAGCCGACGACCTGGATAGTCCAATAGCAAAACTATTTTCACTTGTTAGCGTTTTTCTCTTGCAGCAGGTGTGGGTTAGTGCATGATCTCACGTTTGCCAATGATCTTGTCCTCGAGTTAAAGTAGAAGGAGTTGAACGACCCCGATAGCGACAGGTACATCTCGCAGCTGTAGATTGCCAACGTGATGAGGGTCATCCTCGGTTCTTTCAAGGTTAGAAACAAGCTCTTCAGTTCTCGGGACCAAGACTCTGCATCAAAAGAGGCTAATAGTCGCCCGTCGTTGCGTCTGATCTTGCTTGGGTCCATCAGAAGAGCCGCCACGAGGATGCCGGCGCACTCGAGACAGATGAAGGTGAGATACACCGCTGGCGGTACCCCCGAGGAGGAGGTGTTGCTGATGTTGATTCCAAGGACAACGGCTACAATAACCCATTAACGTGCGCCATCACAGAGAAGGGAATGTCCTACCTGATCCAACGACAGAGCCTAGAGCATTCAAAATCCACGTTGTCGCGATGTAGAAGCCCTTTTCAGACTCAATTGGGTAGCATGTGCAGATGTATCCTGACTGAGGTCAGCTATGCGTACCCCTGCGACATTGAGCCCTGAGGTGTATGCATTGCATGTCCTAGCACACCTCAAATTGAACGAGCCCAAGGCAGTTGGATTCTTACCTTGAACGGCCCATAAAATACCAGCCGAAAGACCTAACCACGCACCACCGAATAACACGAACCATTTCCCTTCGCCTTTGTCTATCCACCTGGCCACATATCAGTCGGAATTGCAGACGAACTCGAAATATGTCACACCAACCAGAGAGAGCCGCATTACACTGGATAGCCGGTAACCCCTATCATGAGGGAATATCTAGGCCCGATCTTGTTGATCACGCCGCCGCCAACAACCGCAGATGCACCAAAAAGGGTGTAAAGAACGACATTAGCATCGTTGACGATCCCAATCAGCTCGGGCTGTTTCCCGCCGGCGCCGAGCCCTGTGATGGCGAGATAGGTTCCGGGATTGAGGAAAAGAACGATTCCAACCAGAACGGTCTGGAAAAATGGTCTGCCATTGGTCGTGGTCAGCTTTGGCACGAAGTTTCTGAGCATGGACTCACGAGCTGACGCGCCACTTGGACGGGTGCTGATGTTGTTCCTGCACAGCAACCTCGCCGCTATCCTTGTTGCTGGTCATTGTGGTTGCCGCCGACTTAAGTTCTGGATCGAAAGGATCAGTCAGGCAGAATTGTCGTCGATGACATTTCATAACAACCTGGGAAACTGCGGGCGAGGTTGTTTTTCTTGCAGCGCCCACAGGGAGCCTGGCAAAATGCGATGTCTAACAATCAATGATTCTAAGACGTCGCCGAGCGTTCAACAGTTCCACATTTGAGTCAAGGTCTATCAAGACACGTCAATAGAGAACGTGGTGCGACGTCCGGTCCCCTCCCGAATAAGGCAAATGAAGTACCTGGTAGGCCGTTTCCCCCAAATCATGAGACAAGAACCCTCCTGTCTTGCAGCCCACCAGTATCCGGTCGCAAACGAGGACGTACCAGCGATTAAATAATTCCCACCAAGACTACCAACACCTATGAATATTGACATCGTTTTACGACTCAACGTCGTAGAACGTTTCTTTGACAGCCGGTGCCAGATGGCATCATAAACTGGATCTTTCTCAGCAACAACGTGGATCAGCAGTGGCTGACATGCACGAATATTCCACCCCGCTCCAAAGAGAGTTGCAAATCATTGGCCGATCGAAGCCAAGAGACGAAGACGGCAATCTGCATCTGCCGACCGCACTTGTTTCCCGAGGTTTCCGCGCCATGCGCCTCATCAATGTAGATACCCTCGCACTGGAAGAATTCTTCGGCAACGATGTACCCCGCTATGCGATCCTCTCCCATACCTGGGGCCCAGACGAGGTCTCCTTCCAGGACTGGAAGAACATGGCCGTCGCCCGCGAGAGGGCAGGGTTCCAAAAGATCGAGCTTGCCCGGAGGCACGCTATCAGCCAAGAGATAGGGTACCTCTGGATCGACACCAACTGCATCAACAAGGATAGCTCGGCTGAGCTGGCTGAGGCCATCAACTCCATGTTCACGTGGTACAGGGACGCCGAGATTTGCTACGCCTACCTCTCTGACGTCTCCGAGGCCGAAGACTGCGATGAAGCCGCTTCCAAAGATGCCCTGCTGTCTAGGATATCTCAAAGTCAGTGGTTCACGCGCGGCTGGACGCTGCAGGAGCTTCTAGCCCCCCGCCAAGTCTTGTTCTTCTCCCGGGAGTGGAGACAAGTCGGCACGCGCAAGTCGCTGGTAGAAATCATTTCCAAAGTCACCGGTATCAGCACTGCCTACTTGGTTTACAGGCGGAAACGGATAGCGCCAATCTCCGGCGCCAGTGTCGCGGAGAGGATGTCGTGGCTCTCATATCGCAAGACTTCCCGCGTGGAAGATATGGCGTACTGCATGCTCGGAATCTTCGACATCAACATGCCGCTGCTGTACGGCGAGGGCTCGAGGGCATTCACACGGCTGCAGGAGGAGATACTCAGGATCTCCACGGACGAATCGCTCTTCTGCTGGTCCTGGAACGAGGATGACCCGCCATCGTGGACGAGTATGCTGGCGCCGTCGCCACGCAACTTTAGGAACGCGCGGGAGTATCGCCCGGCAAGGGACGAATCCAGCCGGCCGGTACCATACTCAATGACCAATTTTGGCCTCTCCATTCAGCTTCCAATCATTCGACTTGCTGAGATGCCCCGCTCGGACATCTGGCTTCGCCCGTTTGAGTACATCGCCGTGCTCTCGGCGGGTACAACAGATGGCCATCTTGTCGGGATTCCTTTGGAAAAGACGCCAACGTTAGACACTTACAAAGTTGTGCGAGACTGTCCACGGCCTATTGCGTTGTGCTGGAAGAACCGTTCGTCGCTCAAGACAGATGGTGTAAAAGCGAGTCACCTCGACATCTTTGTCCCTTCGAGGGGACTTGACAGCAGTGAGCAAGAATCTCGTCTGACGTATCCTGACACCAAAAATAGTATTGGCGAGTATGCGATCCTTCTTCTCCTCCCAATTTCCCCAGACTCAATCTCTTCATTTGAGGGTTTCTCATTTGAGGGTATTGCTGCTATTCCGAGACATAGGAAGTCAAGAGCCGGATTTATAAGGATGAGGAAGTTTGAGATCGCGGGACCTCCATTTGAAGCCTCTCGGTCGTCTACACAGAGCTTCCACGCTACCGAAGCTCATGGAGCCTTGGTTCGAATTTCGTTCAAACAAAATACTCGTGCAATAAGCACGACAACGCTATTGTTTGGCGTGTTAGTCAGTGAAGTCAGCGATAAAAGATGGTTCTATCGGATACTGGAGCACAATCGCCAGGATGACGCGGAGTCAGATTTTCATTTCACGTTCCGTTCTCTAGAGAATCTTCTGGCGGAAGCAGCCGCTGGTTGGCAAGATCAGTCGAGGCGGCCGAGCGAGACGTGTCTTGCGGTGGCTGAGAGGAGGTTAGATGAATGGCGCGAGGAGTTAACTGTGAGACTGGGCCCAGAGTTCCTCGTAGAAGCAAATCATTTGAAGACAAGTACGACAGCTGCACATTTCATAATACACACCCAGAGATGATCTTAACATACGGGCACTTCAATCTCACCAGCAAGTGATGCGTTTCTGCTTTTAAAATGGGTCGAGACTGCATGCAAGTAAAGTGGTTTGTTTGTGGGGCTCACTAGGGCCTGATCATGAGCTTATCTCATTGTGACATGTCTTACAGATTCCTGCCAAGGTCTACCAAAGTCTGATCAAAAGCTTAAATTATCAACCGTTGATATTGAAGGGACAGACAGATGGAGAAACTATACCAGGCATCCGAGAATCTCTTTTTTACCACATTTGAGTGCCATAACTAACGACCATACTACTATTGCCGGCTTCACGTTGTATGGTGTCAGGCTGTCCTCGGTCATCCAATTGCTATGCCTTGAGAGGCCAAGTTACGCAGGCCCTCGTAGACAGTATATCATCAGTGTACTTTTATGCATATTTGATACTGTAACAATATATATTCCCTACCAAGTGCTCTGCAGACCCTCTAACTGACAAATTCGAAAGCATAAGCGGTGTACTGATTGTCCGGATCGACAAAAAAGGTAACTTCATTATTAGTGACGGTGTGCGTAACAATACCAAGATCAGTAGGCGCTGGACCTTCGAGCCACCAGTCGACGTGGTTGAAACGGAGCGTCCGGATCTTCACGGTCCCAGAAATGCCCACGGCGCTGAGACCAGTGACACGCACATCATAGACCCGGTCTCCAGCGGATGACTTGAGGCCGGTCAGGATCTTGACCGAATTGGCACTGCTGCCGCGGGTGGCGTAGACTTCGAATAGACGGTCTCCCGAAGACGTGGTCGCGACGCGGTTGCCCGTCATGGAATGCGTGTAGTAGTTGTACACCCACCACTGCGCAGCGCGGAAGTAGTTGTTCCCCGAGAAGTTGACCAGGCCGGCCATGCCATTGTGGAGATTGGCCGCGCCCATGCCCCAGTGGGCACGTAGGCCGGAGACGCCTTCACGCTCAAAAGCGCCAATGTACCACGCACTGGCTGAGTTGGTCTGATCACCACCGTCGATGGCACCGTACTCATTGACGCTGACAGGCTTCATGGCCATGCCGCGGGCTGAGGTCATGCTCTTCAGGGCGTCCTGTGCATTGCGGGGAATGTAGGCGGAGCCGGTAGCGGTGAGGATGTGATAGGTGTACTTGTCTGGCACAGTGTTGGTCGATTTGACGTGGTCAAGCCAAGCAGTCCATCGAGCGTTGCCCGCGGTTGGTGGTTGTGAGATGGATGGACCTAAGATGGGGACGTTGGGAAGTTCAGACCTAATCTTGGTTAGTGACCGTTGCTGTTTCCCCCCCTATAGAATCAGGATGCAGACGGCTTTGGTGTTTTGGAACTCACTTGAAGCGCTGGTACATGCGTGTCCACGTCTGCAGATACTGTTCGTACGAAGCACCCCAGAATTGAGGAGCATCGGGCTCGTTCCACAGATCAACCTCGAGACCACTTTGAAGGCTGTTGGTCTTGATGTAGGCAATAACCTGAGTGAGGAACGTGTCAAAAAACGCCCAGTTGCCATTGTCGCCAGGCCAAGGAATGGTTCCCTGGACGCTGTCAGCGCCCCAGAGGTCGTGAACGAGCAGCTGAAATCCGGCACCGTGACTCCTTGCAGTTTTGTAATTGGAAGAGAAGGATCGCAGGCGGCCCTGGAGAAGCTTGTCAGATGATAGATCCGGTGTCAGGGAAGGACATCAAATATACCGTGAGCTGGCCAGAAGCGTAGCCTAGACTGGGAGAGGGAAGTTGAGCTCCGCCGGCACGGTTATAGATATACCCAGTGCCCACTGCGAGCTCCTGCGGAATAGCAGTGCTAGCAGAGCCATCGGCGTTGTCGGGAAGGCCGTAGATGAAGCCTGAAGCTAGGTGCTGAGGAGTACCCGAGGTCTGGGCAAGGTTGACGACGGCGGTACCCTCGGCGCGTCTCTCCAGGCGTGTACCGTCATGGAAATCCACGGCAGCACCAGCGACAAAGCGAACCAAGGCCAGAAGGCTGAAGAAGGAGGAAGTGCCCTTCATCTCGTGTCTGATACAGGGGAATCTTGAATAGTTGTCTTCACTGTGAGATGATGGTCAAGCTGGCAAATATTAGCGACATTTTACGTGATTTTATAATACTTACTCCCAAAGGTATAACCCGCTGTAGCTTGACATTGCTAATTGAATATTAAATCTGTATCAATATTGGCTCTCTTGTCATGCAACCTTTCTATTGGCGGAATCCTGCTTCGGTATGTAAGTTTAGCTTCCTTGGACTGGTGGTATGTGCCGGCTGACGCCGTGGGGTTGACGCCTGTAACATGGAAAAATATATATGCCGTTCGATGCACTTCGACTTCCGAAAGTACAGTCTAATTGGAGCGGCTGCAGGTGTCAAGCTTGGGATCGCCGTCTCCCCGAGCAGTTCCCCGCATGATTGAGATAAGCTTACTGCTCCGGTTACTTCAGAATATTCGATTGCCTCCAATCCTGATTGCCCTAGGCCGAAAACATTGATCGGAGGTACACTTCCATTCAACCCTTGTCCTTATCTGTATCATTGAATTCCGCGCAATCGAAAGGTTGAGGGGGAAAGGACCAGGGCTTCACTCGGTCTATATGGAGCGCTTACATACATCGACAAACGCCATTGCGACGTTGACGTCGAAAATGCGCCCATCCATTTCCGATGCGAACTAGTCTTTCGCACCTCTAGAGTCTGATCTCTTCAACCATCGTGACTCGAGATGCGGTGGCTGCAAGAAACATCAACGCTCCAGGGCTGCCACAAGCTAACGCGACCTTGCCATTCTCCTTTGATCGAACGCCGACGATCAACGAGACCCTAGAAGAGATGGATACCAGTCAAACCTCGCATCATCAGCTCTTCGGCCATTGCCTCAAGACTGAACAATGTTTTGACGGAGATAGTCTGTGAAGTTACTGTCTTGGGGACAGGTAGAGCTATCGACGTCCATCCAATGGCAAAGCCAGACTGAAGCTGCGAACTGAAAGGTGCCGTACTCTTCTGGATTCACTTACGAGGCGAAAGAAAATCAAGTCCCAAGAATACTGCCGGGGAATCTATTTCATGGGCCATCTTGACTGAGATAACACTTTACGTGGCTACCTGATACGAGAAAAGGCAAACTGGTCAGGGGTTGCTATACTCGGAATATCAGGTTTGATACCTTGGCACGCAGCTGAAATACGTTTTGAGTAATTCGCACGAGAATCAATTCTCGTTCGTCAAGTGACAATCTGCTATGCTTCTTTGCTGTCAAGGTCTGACAATTGGCTATAGAAGACATACGGCAAACCTTCGAAGGAAGTTCTATGAATTCAGCATCCCACACCGGTTCAGTAGCTCCACACCGCCTGCGTACATGGATGTGTACTCTCTTGGATTTGAATGCAGGTCGGCTGCTTCCCTGTGGATCATATCTTGCAGGCAAAATAGAAGCACAAGTGTACACTTACGTGTCCGATGCTTCTCGCCCTGGTTTTCTCTATAGACAAACGCCCTTCAGTGCCCAACAGTCCGCCCTACAATGCTGGGGAGACAGCCATGCACACGACAATGTCTTTATGCGTAGTTGATGCTTTCGAATTTCCTTTGTGACATGTGTTTTCTCTACGTCTAGATAGTCGCAAAATGACAAGGAGTCAGTTAGGAATCACATCCGGCGTACATCGCGGTGAACTCAAGCAGTTTGTTGCCCTGCATATGGTCTCATGCAGGGCGGGTGTTTCCGCCAATGCTGTCGATGCACAACATCGGCCCACGACTGATATGAAGGTCCAGCTCGAGAGTCTTGGGGCCAGGGATTGATGGAGCCCCAGGTGAAAGAGATATGTCGGTGATCAACTATTCCGTAGACAGGATACACACCTAACCTCTTTTGAGGCACGTACGAGCATTGATGAGGCCTTGTCGTAATGTGGGAATGCCGCTTCAGCTTTGGTCACACATAGCCTAAGGTCAGCAAAGATGAGCCGTATGAGTTTGATGGCCATTCAAAATGTTGGCTTTATCAGTTGCTTGAATGACGCTTCGCGTTTAAGATTGAAGCCCAAATTAAATTAGGGATTGCAGCGCAGCGAAGGTGAGATAAGCCAGTGTGGTGGGATACTTGAAGGAAGTGTGTCATGAAATCAAATAGGTGTCCCTATGTAACCCTCTTCTTAGCAAGATGAGAATGCAAACTGCCTCACAAGTTGGCGGCGAGGATGCCATTCTCGGTCAACTCATGCATGGTGCGGTTAGGAATTGCATGGTGAACCAACTAGCCAATGGGAGCTTAGGTTCTGTAAATAAAGTCCAGTATGATCCATGACTTTCAAGCTTCACTTCTTGTTGCAAGCATCATATCTGACTAAATGTTCATTTGGTATTCCTTCTGTTCATCGTACAAAGTATTTGATCCAAGCAGTCTACAATACTGGCACCGAATGTCTGGTGCGTTCATCCCCGGCCGTTCCTCTTTCATGTCCAGATAATTACCTCCCACTTGGAGCAGGAGTGTTGAACCAGAATAATTCCACACAACCGGATGGCTCTCATCCATCTCTACTTTCCTTCCGTGTCTGCTCTCTCACTACTGACTGCTGTCACGACGTCCATCTGTATCTGTGGACCCTCCGCTGGACTCTGCATCTCATAAGCAGGGACTTCAACTGATCGCAAACTAGGCGTGTCATGCATACTCGCGTAAGACCTTGTTCTTCCCCAGCCTCTTTGGCCACCGTGCTGCCACCACCACCAACGCTTGTGGCTACTGCCAGGGGTGATCTCCCAAATCGGCACTCTCCTGCTAGCAGGCCCGCTGATTATGACGGTATTTCCGAACTCTCGTATTGGCGTTCTCATAAAAGCGAATCGGTCGAGACCTGTGTCGTGGGCATCTTTGGGCGCACTGCATAGAATCGTCGTCGTCCATAAGATCGAGTTGAATAACCCATTCAGAGCCAGAACGCACCCCGCAAAGGCGAAGTAGGGGACCCCAAGATCAATGCCCTGCAGGGACGTAATGCGTCCTACCACTAACGGGACACTGCAGGCTATGTAGACGAAGGGATAAGCTAGAAATGCTGGGTGATACCCAGACGGCCTTGGGCCTTCCTGTTGTTGCGGCGTCTCAACCCTCAGGGGTGGTACGTCGCTGTGTATAGATGTACGTTTCTCTGGTAGATGACGACAGCTTCGCTTCTGTCGCCAGAGTGTGTAAAAGACAAATGAGTAGAGAATAATGGTTATGCCGATGGAGACTATGACCCAGAAATAATGAGCCCAGAGTCGCCACGGGTCGTATGCATTCGAGATCCAGCACCTAGATGCAATGAAGTCCACATCAGCTCATTCAGACGTGTGCAATGATTCAACTGAATCAAAGCGAAAGGGGATATCTTACCACACATTGGCTCTCATGAAGAAAGATTCGCCGGGAACCTCTGGGTCCGCTTCAGCCACCCGAACTCCTGCTCCATTGATGCTGAAGTCGAAAATCCATAGCCCAGCAATCGCCGTGTAAACTGCCCATGGCGGTGGCTTGATACCCAAACCCACAGTCAAGAAAGTGTTCACTGCGATTACTGCGAGGAAGAGACTGGCCGCTAAGTTGCTCGTCGAGCCCAGCCAACCCTGCGCCCAACATACCCCGGATGGTGCAAATATACCATCCACAGCTACCCAGTAGGAGCTCAGCCCATATGCAAGGGCTTCCATCATGTCCGCAAGCAAAAGATTGTAAACAAGAATTGGAAAAGGGTTGCGCACTTGTGACTCGGCATCTTCATCGGCTTCTTGCGAATTGGTGTCGGGCGGTCTTTCTTGGGCTTCCGCAGCTAATCGGTCCAGCTCCAGAATACGCTCAAAGCCGGTGGCCCCGGAGCATGGGGCATCGAGTCCGAGGGACAGGTCGGGGAACTGCGGGGCGGCAGCTGTTGCGGCGGATGCATTTCGTCGACGGGCCCTTCGCTTCTTCCGCCTTCTTTCTTCTAAACGTTCTGAAAGGAGTTTGTAAGAGATGAAAAGCCACAAGGCAGTAGTCGACACGAATGATAAAAGCGAGAAAGCCGTCAAGACGATCAAGCCCAGCCGGTGGTTTTCTGGGAGAGGCGCCAGTGTCCCGCGTTGCGCCGCGGCTGACATGGTGAACGGGCATCTAAGAAGGCCATGAGGAACCGATGGAGACGTTGGAAAGCGTGGTGGGCAGCAAATATAACGCAACCCCTCATTATTTGAGGATATGTGCGCCCTTACACGCCTAGGTTCAGCCTGTCTTCTAAGAATCTTCTTCCAAGTAACTAGCTAAACCTTGAATCATGGTTTGAGGTTAGCCCGAAACTCTTTTGTTGCTACTCCAATAGGCGCGCAGGGTACCGTGAACGATCCGACGCAGGTCGCGTCGCTGCAAAGTCTAAGTAAAGGAACACCTCTTAGTTCCTGTTTCATACCTAGTTGTCAACCAGAGATGATGGCGACTATTTGTACCACATACATGGCAACATGTGATGCACTGAAGGTAAAATGGCGTTTACACAGGTGTGGTGCGCCCACTGGGAAAGCAGAGCGCTTGCAGCAAACCTTGTTCCCCGTGGAGAATGCACGCTGCCCACCTAGATCGGGCGGTTTAGCCGGCGGGAGGGGGGTTGGAAAGAGCATGGGTTCCCAATCGTGAATGACTAGAGCTACCGGAATTACGAACCTCTCGCGAAATAGTCAGCAACAGCTTCGCCACATGAGGATAGACTTCAGCCTGACTAGCGAAGCGTTGAATTGGTGAACATTGACATGACTCTGCCGTCGGCGACAGCGGCGATAATTTGCCCATTTCGTCATTTTGAGATAACCTGAGCCATCTCTTGATAAAATCTCAACCTCACGGGACATCTTGCTTGACACGAACAGTGTTCTTTGCTGGTGAGCTTTGACCTTCGTTCCCAATTTCATGACTACAATCTCGGTAGGCAGTTTGGAAAGCACTATGCTGCCAAGGCTGAACTGGCAACCACAACAGTAGTACTCGAACGGGTCAAATGAGTCGTTCTCAACTGTTGACAGATTGACAACGCCATCAAGAGTCCTGATGTCTGAGGCCGGAAGTTCCGCAACGCCGTCGGCATGTCGGACCCCGCGAACAAAGTAGTCCCCTTCCTTCTCTCCATAAGTTGTCTCAGGGGATGGCAGTGCAGGATGAGGGGATTACGGGTTTCACCCGATCGATTCATAGATCGGTCCAAGCTTCCAGACCTCGTGGCACCCTTGGAGTCTCGTCAGGGATGACGAGAATGAGACCATTCAAACCATGTAATTCGTGAACGGAACTCGTCAATCACCGAGGCAGTTGGGAGAGAAAGAATTGTCTTTGATACTCAGTCGAGAGTTTGGGCTTCAATTGCTATTGTGACTACCTAGATATATCGGCAAGCAATGTCCCATGTGCTCTTAATCGGTCCACTGCACTCAGGCAACTTTCTAGGGCTCTCTCCCGCATACTGATTCTGGCGTGCACACATTAGGACGTAGGACTACGGCAAAATTGAAGCTTACTGGAACTCATTAAAAGAAAGCAGTTGTCATGCAATTAACAAGAACTCGCTTCTGTTGAGCTTCCAGTGTCCAGGACGACTTTCAACACCTGACGGCCGCAGTAATCGCTCATTATTACAGTAGCGTAAACGCCAACTAGGGTCGTGAGAACGTCATTGGCTTTCTGCACCTGGACCCATGCAGGCCGACGGAGGCGAGGCTTCCCCGCTTCCGCCAGCTTGTCCATGTCAGATTGGTTCCGCATCATGACCTGATCATGCCTGATAGAAACGTTTGCGATTGTTTTCATACTCATTCTCCGGATACTCTGCAATGTCTTCGTGTCACGCAGATGCCACTGGTTCTGAACGCAAAGACATCCCTATCGCTGGAGATATCGCCAACAATGTCCACAAAAGCCCCACTGACACGAATTTGTGTGCTGATTGCGCGCGGATCGACTTCGAGGCTGCCTGCGACGAGGCAGCGTGGGTCGAAGCTGCAAATGCGCGCAACTACATTTATCTTAAGACTTGACCACTCGCTCGGACTGGGATCGGTGGCAAGGAGATTGGGTTCAAGATCCAAGCGACGGATTCCCCCTCTCATGCTGGTTCTGCGAAAGTCTTCTCAAGATATTGTTGAACCCAGATAAAATGAGATTCGAGCGAATATGTGGAAGGTCGTTCGAAAGACTCGTAGCGTTCGACGGTGGTACCGACCAAAGAGTTGGTATCGCTTTTTTAGGGATGGTGACAAAGGCCCAAAGTGTTAGGCCACGACGGCTTACCAAAATGTTGGGCGGGACGGAATCGAGAACGCGTTCTACATATCCGCAGTGCCGGCCGCGCCCCCTGACGAAAAGGCGTCCAAAATGATAAGCCCACTCGTCTGCGTCAGGGGTTCAGGGATGTCGGGGTTGTTTGAGCCCCGTCTAACGTCTCAGTTCGTGGACCTCGATCTCGTGAAAACGTGGATACAAACTTGCAACGAGCATCATCCTCAATGCTTGAAGAATCAAAACCGCCCGACACCACACATACGAGTTATTGACTGCGTTGAGAGGCGTATCATCCGAGCAGAAAAGGGCTCACGCTATGTCGCCCTCAGCTACGTCTGGGGTTCGGCTCCAGCCACAGCCACGCCTTTTTCGAACACAGAACTGGGAGACCTTCCACGAACCATCGAGGACGCGATTTCAGTGACACTCAATCTAGGATGACGATATCTCTGGGTAGATAGATATTGTATTCGCCAAGACGATGAGAGCGACAAAATGGAACAGATCCAGATCATGGACCAGATTTACGAATGCGCCGTCTTGACAATTATTGCAGCCGCAGGAAGAAACGACAATTATGGGCTTCCCGGTGTTGGGAACAGAGAATTGTGCAAACTTGGAGAAAGGGGCCATTGAACTTCGCTCAGCTCAAGTACCCTGAAGATGAGGTAGAAGGCTTTGTTTGGAATACTCGAGGATGGACCTTTCAAGAAAGCATTCTGTCCCACCGGAGACTTATATTCACCGAGTCCTCAGCATTTCTCCAATGCGAGAAGTCCAAGGCTCACGAACTGCGGGGTATTTAGACCCCACTGGTACGAACGCGAAGAAAGTCGTCAAAGAGTACGACTCGGCCATGGCTATTTCCAGTATCAGCAGTTGGCGCTCCGTCATGGTTTTCATTCCGACTGAAAATAGTTCAGTCTCAACCACGGAGAATTTCGAAAAGTTCAAATTGACTACGACCGCATACTCAAAGAGAAACTTTACTCATCGAGCCGATATCTTCCATGGTCTGCGGGGGATTTCTAGGAAGTTTGAAAAGACCTCAGCTCCGATTTACATCATTTTCGGCATTCCCTTTCCACTTTACCATGATCAAATTTCGGCCGAAAGATTCTTTGTCTCTGGCCTAAGCTGGCATTGGGAAAGACCTGATTCACTAGATGGATCACCAGAATGGTCACACTTGTGAAAGTTTCCCACCTGGAGTTGGGCCAAATCTCTGGGCATCGGTATTATCTGGGGACAGTCAATTCAACTCAAAGATGACCTGTTTCTGTGGCCAACTGGGATTCAATTCCGCACGAATGAACACGCTCCCGCGTATACGCTAGAAGACTGTATTAAGCTCAGGCAACAGGTTTCGCCCATGCTTGAGTTCCACGTTCTTGAAGTCGACGTTTGTCTTCTTTCGGTCCCCATCTTTCTTACTATCACGGAGGACACATCGGAAACTACCGTCTCTTTTTGGGCGGAGCCCCCGAACCTCCTCATGGTCAACACCTATTGCGTGGTTGAAAGATCCCATCAAAAACGGGAATGGACTCAATATTGCGGGCAGAAAAGGAATTGCCGAACAACTATCCGCCGGGAGCTGGGATATGATGGTTCTGGCCACAAATATCAGGGAAGTAACCAAGTGCTACTTCGAGACCTTCCACTTCTTCATACTCGAATGGGAGGTTGTTGATGGCAGTCGGCGGGCGTACAAAGTGGGACGAATGGAGATCCAAGCAAAAGCCGAGCCAGGGGAATCCGGGCTAGAACGTTTGATTAAAGAGCATGGTGTCTCGAGAGAACATATACAGATTCACTGAGTTTACTACATTTTGAATTAGATTTCTTCAAGGACTACCAGTGTCTACCCAGAAATGGCGTTTATCTATCTCTTGGTAGTTGAATGAGACGGTATTGCATTTGCCTACTGCTCCTCGAGGCGGTCTACTTATGGCTGAGCTTCCGGCCGCTGAAGGAGTTAATGGTAGTATTGGCAAAGAAAAAGAGCAGTGAGATGTTTTTCTTCCTCCATTTCAAAAGATGACTTGGTCATGTCATGGTAAACATGTCAAACGCTATCACGTGATTGGCCAAGAAAACACAGCTGAACGGAATGAATGCTGATATATCAATACGTACCTGTGTCTCCCTGGCGTCCACCATCGAGAGACTCCCGTTCATTTATTTCTGACAATGGATCGGATCGAATTGTGACTTCCGGAGAATTAAGCCCAGATCCGAACGTTCAGCCACGAGAACAATAAGATACGTGCGTTGGTCTCACTGACGCATCCTTGAAGACGTAAATTGATCCCATTCATCGTGAGTATGAGTCTGGAACAGAAGCGAAGTTGAGCCATGAATATCAGCCGGTATCCCCACCAACCCGTCCCTTTCTGTTGATGGTGTTCAATTGCTATAGTGAGCGCGATTGTTCTCACCGAAAGGTCGATCGATTCTGGCCAAGGGGCTACAAGATTTTCGAGGACGTTACGATGCCACGAATCAAGCCAAACACCAGCGAGGCTTATCACGGCATTCCTCGCTTAGACATTTGTCTCGGGAAGCAATGCGCCCCCCGACGCTGCCAAGGGGCGTTGCGCATGTGTCATTGTATCTGGCACGCTGGCCTTTGAACCAAAATTCCTCAGGGCAAATCAAATGCCAGATATTTCCCAAGCTATTGTGTCTGAATCAGAGAAAACATGCGAACGCGCAATGCCGGACTCCAAGGAATGGGAATGGCACCATTTTTCTCCGACTTTTCTCTGGCCTCTCCCTTAATTCCTGTCGCCCACGATCGCGTCATGACAAGTTCACTCTTAAGGGACACGACCCCCGGCGCTCTTCCTGCAGTCGTCATCTCTTGTTGATGTTGTTGGAATTAAGTCAGCATTGCACACTGTCCAAACAGCCGATATGGGCCCCTTCGGGAGGAGACGTCTTGAGGGCCCATCTCTGTTACATCTTTTCTTCACCGTCATCCTGCTGGGTTCCTGGGATATCCTCAGCACGAAGGTCCGTATCTCGCTATGATTACCAACTCTTCATGCTAATGTGCAGCCCAGACGACAGCTCAAACTACTCGTCGAGATCTGATGGAAGTCACCGAGACCGAAGACAATACCGCAACAGGACACAATGCAGGGCAGCACATCTTCAAGGGCGAAAGCTTCTACAGCTCCGAGGCAATGGAGCATATCCTTCCCGAGCACATGTTCCGAAACAATAACGTCGCGGTCATAACGGAAACCCACCCCGCGAATGTGCCAAACCTGGTCCCGATCATGCTGCACTTCGCATCGTCTCTGGGACCCAAGTGGCCGGTGGTTCTCCTCACGCTGCAAGAGAACTGGCAAATGCCAGAATCGATGCAGTTTCGACAGCTAGTGGAGGCGAAGCGCATCGCCATCCTCTACCTCCCTCCTGGCACGGCTTTCCCGGATCACAAATCCGTCACATACTTCATGGTTCGCCCGTGGCTATGGGAACTGTTCTCGCCGGCAAACAGAATTCTCCTGTTCCAGGTGGATAGCATCTTATGCTCGCAATCAACAAGTAAAGTCGACGACTTCCTAGAGTGGGACTTCATCGGCGCGCCGATCTTAAAGAAACACGGAAATGGATACAATGGCGGGCTGTCATTACGAAACCCAAGATTGTTTCTCGACATCATCAAGGAGCAGCAGAAGAATCCGGGCAGGCTCAAGGTTGAAGATCAATGGTTCTTTGAAAGATTGCAGGAGCGCAACGCGCGACTGCCCACGGAAGACCAAGCCAAACGCTTTGCTGTTGAGACGATATTTTACGAGACGCCGCTGGGCTACCACCAGCCGAAGCGTTGGCTGCCGAAGCGAATGGACGAGATCAGAGCATGGTGCCCTGAAGTAGACATGATTGGAGGGGGCCAGCATTTTTACTGAGTATATGCTTGTATCTATACTGACTTGATTTGATTGCACATAACTGGACATTACCCGTATTGCGCCAATGTCTGAAAGCTTTTGGTCACTCGACTACATGGGATGCTCAATGACAACCTTCTCCAAAGATGCAGCTCCATGTGATACACGCTGTATCTCTTCAATTCCCTTCTCAGCCCCCTTGACGAAAATGACATTGGGATGTCTAGGAATCCGGTCCGCCGTTTCCACCACATATTCCATCACCTTCCGGGTACGAGTAGGGAACTCAGGATCTTGAGGCTCCCCCATTGCCCCAATGCTTCCCGGGGGTCTGTAAGTGGTGCAAAGGCGAAAAGCCTGATTGTCTTTGACGGGGAGTGTGCTAGCCAACTTAATTGCTTCGACGTCCGCGCCGTCCGACAAACACTTGCGCGTGAGTGCCGGAGACGTCTTGTCTGCCTCGACATCCGGAGACATGATACCACTGCACGCCGTGTCGAAGGCCGTGGTAAGCGTAATCCCGAGCTTCTTAACGGTGGCCCGAATGTCGTCAACAACGCTAGGGCTCCTGTAGTCGAAGCAGTGGGTAGCACCCAGTGCCCGAAGCCTGGCGTGATTCTTGGGAGAGGCAGTAACCAAGATCGGACTGAAGCCAAGCTTTTTTGCGAGTTGGACAGCAGAAATGCCGACATTCGTTGCTCCGCCCCAGATCAGAAGGGGCCTGCCGGCAGGACTGATGCCCTGAACACCAGCCGCTGGCCACCCGGAGCCGAGGATGTTGAAGATGGCGTCTGCGGCAGTCTGAGCTCCCATCAAGCAACCACCAGCATCCTTGAGATCAAGTCCTTCCGGAACTTTGTAGGTGAAGGCATCTTCCACGATGGCCTTGTCTTGATGGGTACCGAGTGAAGATGGCTTCGGGAAGGGCACAGTGGAGATGCCAAAGACAGGATCTCCAACTTTGAAGCTGGAATTGGGACCCGTACCTTCAACAACGCCAGAGAACTCGAAGCCGGTGACATAAGAATGTAGACCCACGTGGGCGAAGTTTAGGTCGCAGTGATTGATGCCTGAGTATTTGACTGAGATCAAGGCCTGAGAGCCTTGCGGTTCGTACTTTTCGTTGACATTGCGAATGGTGAGGCTGGCATCAGCACCGAGGTAGATGGAACGAGACATGTTGAAGGATTTGATTGTTGAAGTGATGGTCTGATTGGTTCCTGTGGATATTCATGCCGGCATTGTGTGCGAGCCACTGGAACTATATGTACTAGATCATCTTCTAAGTCTTCATCACCTCCACCAGCTAGTGGTGTTGGTGATGTAGTTGAAGACTCGTTAAACATCCGCCGGGGTCGGAATTACAACTCGCTGTTACCCAGCTCCGAAAACAGATCCACTCCGCCGTTGCCGGACAGAGCGGATTGCGCCGGACGGCAAGCCCGGAGCTGTCCAGAGGCCGACCGGAGTAGTCTAGGCGTACTGATCGCCGGAGATAGGACACATCTAGCGGGTGTAATGCCGAAGAGACCAGCAGGATGCAAGCCTCTCGAGTCATGTTTTAAAGTTTTGCCAAGACATATGCTCTATCGCAGAGTATTCGTTGGTAATCCACTGAGGTTTAATGTCCGCTGACTTTGCGTACACGAATTCGAACAGACTACTTCCTATTTGTAAACAACCTCTATCTCTCTCACTTTACCGAAGAATTCTTTCTGCGTCTCGGCACCTATCGCTTTGCGCGTATGCTTCTCGTTGATGTCTAGAATCATGATGGAGCCTCCCTCAGCCCACGCCATAGATTCGTTAGCCGCCCAGTTGACTATGAAAAACCCCAACTTCTTGTATAGGCGCTGGCCTGCCGTGGTTGCGATCAAGATGATTGGGGCGTCGTCTTCCCTCGAGCGCTCAAGGCCCCATTCCATCAACTTCTTTCCAACTCCCTTACCCTGCCAATCTGGATGAGTGTTGAGAGTAAGTAGGTTCCAGAACGATTGGAGAGGTGCGTAGGGGTTTCCCGATTCCGCATTCTCTTTGTCGAAAATTGCCTTGCGCTCGCGATGGAGAGCCTTGTCCAGATGAAAGTAGTCGACGTATCGGTTTTCCCAGTCCACCAGCGTCCTCTCCACGGCCTTGGCAACCCCGGTGTTGTTGGACCGCCATTTGAAAGTGCGAGGATCGTCTTTGAGGCCGTTCCACTCCCAGCGGGAGTACCCGATGATTTTCCCGCGAGGCCAGTCTGCAGGGTCTTCGTCGTCGGTGACGCAGACGAATGAGTGAATACCTGGCTTCGCAAGACTCGCGCGCAGGGCGCGAACGATGCGTGCGCGCCAGCATTCCGGGAACTCTCGACGGCGAGGGTAGAGCCATACGTTCAGCTCCGCGTCGAGGAATGCATCGCTGCCATCCAAAATCCCGGGGATGTCGGCATGCGTCACGGGCCGCGTATGCATGGTTGCTTTTGGGAGATACAGATTATTGAGAAGGAAAACAAGGTAAAAGCAAGACTTCAAGCGGAACCTGCTGGAAGACTGGAGTCGAATGCTTTTAGAAGTGTATGCGGAAATGGCTGGCTTTTAGTTAAGGTAAGACGAGGGGGAAATTTGAGCCGTGATTACGCCCTCGTCGCCAGCGTCGCAAATCCGACCATAACGATCTTTAAATGAATCGCGAAGCACCGTGGCTTCCCGACCCCGATCCCGTGTTCTAGCCTGGCTGCCTACTCGCTTAGGTAGATGCTGGTGTGAGCACAGTGGACTCCAGGGCCTTTTGTTAGTTGGTTCAGGGTCTTTTCTAAATTCAGAAATGGATTTGAGCCGTGCGATTGGTGCATAGCCAGATCGTATCTGACAAGGGCGTGATGATGGCAGATAAAGGCGCAATAGCAGGCGATGTACGGAGCCCAGGCCATGCATACACATGAAAAGGGCGCGCCTAAAACAACGGCGTTGCAAGGGTTGGTGGAATCCTGACTGCTTATGGGACTCGTAATACGGCCCGAAAAACTGACGAAGAAAAGGAAAAGACATAAATGCGAGAAAAGGTCCAGTCTCAAATCTGAACATGAAAGAAGTCCTCGTAACTGAGGAATTTCGTGATATATATATTTACTCTCTTGATGAAAGTACGATTCTCCCACTATGGGTAAACGTCTCTTAGACTGACGCTCCTCAAACTCGGCATCGGGGTCGGCATCGGCACCTAAATGAGTGGAAGCGAGACAATCTCGGGGTGGGGATCATCATACCCAGCCCATGTAACTAGGCTTGACGGCTCGCACTCCAAATGGTTCATCTGTGACTGCCTTAGCAATGGCGGCTCACAAACCGACATTTCGATCAATCTGCACGCTTCGATTCCCAGATATTTGCTTGCAACCTAGCTATGGTTCAACTTGGAGCAAAGGCAGTGTCGCACATGAGATACCTAGGTCGTTTACTTCGCCTCATCAACGATTGGCTCGTTAATCGCACATGCCCCGGTCACACAGCGGCGGCCGCCCAAGCGGCAAATGCGGCACTAAGGCCTAACTTCCTAGCCTCACTTTCTCACTGAATGATCTCTCGTTCCCCGATCCTTGTTCGCCCTCTGGGAGCTTCTATCGTCTGCCGTTTGCTCTCAGGGTGATTTTTCAGACTTCTCAGGTTGGAGTTGTTGAAAATGCCGACTCCACGAGCCGAGCGCCGCATTGGGCGAAAGGTGGAGGAAGCATACGTGAGCTGAGCCAACACAAGCACCGTCTTACCTTGCGTCTAATGAACAAGTAGCCTAGCCGCCACCCCTGGCTCCCTGCAAAGACGCGTGAAGGCCACCAACACGAATCCCCGGGTTCAGATCTTGAAGACACAACTCTAGATAAGAGAAGAATCCTTCCTAGAAGATTCGGAGCAGACGACTCGGTTGAAGCCAAGTATGTCAATTCAGAGGAAGATGCCGCAACCACATTAGAACTCCATGAGATGATGGCAAGTCACCCGGGCCTAACACCTCACTTTTGCGCCCATTGTCAGGAGTGGGAAATCGATTTTCGTCATTTTCAATTGAATTATCGAGGTAGCTCGGATGATAATCAAGGGCACGAATATCGTAGGTTTGAAGATGGCTTCACTGCTCGATATGCCCAGGAAAAGGCGAAACTTGGCTGTGATTTCTTCAAGAGGGCCCCGAATGAACGACGATCAGATTTTCAAAGCAGGAAGAAGAAAGCTTTGAGTGGAGACGAAGTTTCGTACGTAAATGTGCGAGAGGATACCAACACCAACACGATCTTTCACCTCGCCTGGAAGGGACCTGATGCGGATGGGTACGGTGAGGTGTACGAGATTTACCCTTCTCCTGGTATGATCTTCCAACTTCACAGTTCAATACGAATGGTCAAGATACATCATGCTGATACATTAGTGAAGGCGACAAACCTCGTTCTAGCGCATTGATAGGCCATCTCCCACCTAACCTCGTCTCAAACTCTGAGCTGAGCTATCGTCGGGTGAAACAATGGATGCACGAATGCCAGAGAAACCATTCGAAGTGCTCGTCCCGATCGAACACATTCGTTCCCACAAGATTGCTTCACGTTTCAGGGACTCCCCAACATCCAAAGATCAGACTCTCGACCAAGCCACCAGTAGTACCTTACGCGACTCTCTCTTACTGCTGGGGCGGAGACCAAGATGCGAAAACCTTACGATCCAACTTTGCGTCTTACCAAGATCATATCGAATTCTCCACCTTACCAACCACGATCCAGGACGCTGCCATAGTCAACATTCAGATCGGGCTGTCGTACTTGTGGGTTGATGCGATGTGCATCATCCAAGACGACGACAATGACAAGACGAAAGAGGTCGCAAAGATGCACGCGATCTACCGAAGCTCGCTTGTAACAATAGCACCATCAGAGGCGCCTACGAGCAAAACCGGGTTTCTCAGACCTCGAGACATGTGGCGGCCCATCAAGATGAAGGCCCGATTCGCCGAGAACGTCTTCTCGGACGTTCTTCTTGTTCCAGAGGGCAGCTCGTGCAGGCCAAGTGCTCCTCTGTTCCAAAGAGGATGGACACTGCAGGAGACGTTATTATCTACCCGTGTTCTAGTCTATGGTCTGAGAGAGCTGACCTTCCTCTGCCTGGAGGGCATCAGGTCAGAGTGCGGCTCACACCTGACAGTCGAGGAAATCAACTGGGCCTTCCACCCTGGGAGTAAGATCCACGTGAACATGAACCACCCCCAAAGTTGGAATTACTTGATTGCATCCTACTCGGAGCGCTTTCTCACAGTTGAGGGCGATAAGCTGTTAGGTATAGCGGCGCTGGCTGAAGAATATGGACGGAGCAAAGGCGTTGATGGGTATTTCGCGGGTTTGTGGAGGGACAAATTCCTGGAGCAGGCACTCTGGACCACGGCATCGTACACCGGATCCCCGAAGCATTCCAAGGGGTATATAGCCCCTTCTTGGTCTTGGGCAAGCATCAATGGCGAGATCACGGGCTTCGGAGCAAGCTTCAACATGCCTCTGGCGTGGCTACCTGAGACAATGCCAGACAACATCACATGCGAGTTGGTTGATGTCCAGACAACTTTGACAACACCAGAGAATCCTTTTGGGATGGTCAGCGGCGGGTACATGCTGGTGCGTGGCAATATGCGGAGGGTCATTTGGAAAAGCGAGCATGGCCGGGGCTCGGCATGGAACGGTATTGGGTGTCTTACATCAAATACCAACGAACGTCTTGAGGCAAACGAGAAGGCAGTTCGTGACCCGAGAATGGCGATCAGGATAGACAATCAACAGGACTGGCTCAAGGAAGAATTGGTTCTCCTCTGGAGCCTTGAGATTTGCAAGACGGATGACGGACGGGGGTATGCGCTTCTCCTCAAAGAAACAGATGTCAAAGCAGGGGCGTTTCGGAGAGTAGGTCGACTACAGATAACCTCGGTGGATGAGTCACGGGGCAATTGGTTCGATAGCGATTACACTTTCCGGGAAGTTATGGTGATCTAAGCCGATTAACCCTGAATTTTACTATCTGCACCCTTTGATACACGAAGATGAGACCCAAACATGATGGAAAGCAGGCGCCGCTTATGTTTTCGCGCACGAGGATGCCTCGCGCTTGACGATTATTACAAGTCGGATCTGGTATATATTCAATTGCTTGTTGCAAATGACATATGATTGTCATAAATTTGCAAAGAAGGACTAAAAGCTATCATCCCCAATTTGCGCCAAGTGGCTTTGTCCATAATTATCTACTTTGAGGCAGAAATGTCACCTGAAAATGAGAACGAAGCATATCATTATGAATGTCAGGAATGTGCCGGTCATATTGTTGAATACAAATAAATCCTAGGTCAAGCTCCTATGCCGAAGGCCCAAATCAAAAGTGAAATACAGATAAGAGAACAACGCCACTTCCATAATTAAACCTCAAATTGCTACCAACTAGTGGCTGGTCTTAAACCCTCTGGGATTTTAACTGGTCGTCCGAATATTTCCGGTGTTCTAACAAGAGCGTTTACTTGGTTCGAAACAAAAGATGGCTCGTTGGTTGCGCGTCGAACAATCCTTTCAAGCTTCTCGTATAAAATGTCTGCGGTAACACGGTCGTCCACCTGAATCAACAGCAAATGATGCTTGATTAGATTGACCAGGGCCCCAATAGCTGTGTCACCTCTGCAACGGGGATCATTGTGCAGAACTTTGAAAGCTTCGAGGACGGTGGGATGGATCACCGCAATGGATCCTCGATGCGTGTAAAAGTTGGAAGTCCCCTGGATGGAAGTTAGTTCCTCCCTGGCGTCGGCAAAGCTGTAAATAGCTTTGAACCCGTACATCATCCAGATGATGAATTCAAGATATATGCATGCCATTGACCAAATGTCGTATCGTCGAGGTCTAGGGGCATTGGTCTTCTCCAGAGCTTCCGGTGGTTCGTAGGAAGGTGATGCCGCGTTGGTGAGGGTACCAGAGAATCTCATGTTTGTTGCAGCTTTGTGAACCTTGGAAATCCCAACATCCGCGATGACAAGATTCCCCAACTCGCTGTCTGGGAAGTGAAGGATGTTGCCAGGCTTGAGATCTCCGTGACGGCAATTGATGAAGTGGAGTTTGCGTAAAGCACCACTAAGTCCAAGCATCTGCTGGAGGGACCATAGCATGAGCCCCTTACTTGCCGTATGTAGCATCCAGAACTCCTGGAGATTTCCTCCTTCTGCCCACGGGAAGGCGATAAAGTAAGACTTGTCTCTCTCGCAGAAGAATAAGTATCGAATGAGATGTCTGTCAGTGATACCCCGTGTCTCCAGAAGGTTCTCCCTTTCCTTCTCAAACAGTTTCAAACCATCAGGCTTGCGGAAGATTTTGACTGCAATGACCATGTTCGTCTTTTGCGCCTGAAAGTCAGTTGTTAGCACCTGTACCTCGTACTGTGAGAGCAGGTCCGGGGACTTACCCCAGCACCGGTTTGATGAGCCGCATGTAGCTCGCTCTTGTAGACAACATTGCTGTGGTCCCCCCGAAGTTCGGTTGCCCTCAAGAATGGTAGCGGACACTTTGAATCTACCTGAAAGACTCTCGATTTCCCCGAGACATCCATTTTTGGGGCAAGGAATAGCCACTGCTTTTCCAAGAACATGTCCACCCTAGCTTCATTGTTCCAATCTTGAAACGACTTGACTTCCTGTCTCCTTTTGGACTTCAATATGCTACCGTGATCGCCAGGAATAGACCTCGCAAACGGCAAATCGTCGTCGGTAAGACCATCGCCCACCAGCTTTCGAATTGCCTGAGGCTCTCCGATCATCACGGTTATTGCGAACAATCGTCTTGCGTTGTTCGCGATTATGTCGCTTGGCAGGCTATCGGAGAATATTCTGTTCATCAGGCTTTTGGGGAGTTCATTTTGGACGGTCTCCTTGGTTATGAGGTCATCCAGACTGCTGGCTGGCAAGAAGTCCTGGCTAACGATGGAGGAATTTTGAATAGAGCTTCTCAGCGCTGACAGCAGAGATCGAGAAGACATTGGTCGTCGATTTGCCCCTTCTGGACGTCGGTCTTGGAGATGGTATTCGCGGATGACTGGGGTTCAAGGCTCAACAGGACGGCTCGCCGACAATCGCGGGGGTCTTATGAAATTCTCAGCATAAACCATAACCAGCGACTGCACGAGAAAACAGGCTGTGAATCAAGGCGACCATGAAGGCAGCCACATAGGCATCCGCCAGGCCGCAGTCGCTGTGAGAACGAAACTGCCGAGCTTCGACATCATCGCACTCCAGTGACCTACGTTGACACAGCCATTGTGCAACTTGTACACCAACAGGTCACCCAAGACATGTCCAGAGTCTCGCTGAGAGCCGCGCCACTGACCCACAGCCTGACAGTCGGGGAAGCCCGGGGTCAGCTGGCACCCCCTTCATGTGTGTGTCGCAAAATGGGGACCACCACGATGGCATCGAGGTCCAATGACGAGGTCTTGTCCCGACACCTCATAGGAAATAAAAGATAAGCTGCTTGGTTCAGCCTGATTTGGCGCATGCATGAGTCCGCAGGTTCCGTCAAAAGATAAAGTGCATCTACCCCGCTCTCTCGGCTGTGCTTTCTCCAGACGCACGACTTTGCGCAGACTCACGTCATCGCATTACATGCATATCAGGGGGGCTAGATGCCATGCTCACAGCCTGATTCCGACAGGCAGCTTCATCACTGGGTCGTTTCGCTTCTGCGGATACCAGCAGTCAGATCGAAACATTGGGACGTCCGGAATTTTTAGTGCATATGCCAGGGCCCATGTCGATCTCCTTCATAACGCTTTGCAACATCTCGCGTATTCAGAAGTAAAAGCTGAGTTATCTAAACCACAGTCTGCTCCAATGGGGCTGGGAAGTTTTAGCATGAACTCTTGGCCAATGCTTACGGCTTCCTAGTTTGGCTGCAGTCATCACACCATGGGCTGGCACTAAACGTATCGCTTAGAGGTTGCCATTGCCGTGTGGAGTCTGGAAAATGTCCGTTCTGTCCCGACTCCAAGCCTCATTTGGTTTGATCCGCAGCATGCGGACCAGGCGCACCAGCTTCGGCTGCAAATCAAGGCCGGGTATCATCCAGACGATGGGTGATATGTGTTTACGAAGCTTTGAGATTGGGTTTACTTTCGTCTCCCTTGATCTGCAGCTTATCATGTTGGACGGAGCATCTATGCCAGCGTTATGTTCCATATCAATACCACCGAGCCTTGAGCAGCGAAACCTTTGCAGAACCCAGAGTTCAGAACTCATCATGTATGCGCTACCGACGCTTCTGGATACTGCAACACTGCAACTCTGCCTGCATGAAGCTGGGCTTGGGTCTAGGCAGAATGGTGTATACCATAAGGCAACCAGCACTAATGGAGTAGTCGTGGAGGGGGTGGTGCCGAGGAAAGGAGGGGAAGGCCGTAATCTGCTGTGCAAACGGCTACCACCAAGAAGTCAGACCACCAATTCGCGTGTGCATAAGTACGTTGCTGCATGCTCTGGATAAGTCCAATCGCGCAAGACCCAAGTTCGCCTCAGTAGATGCTGTGGAGGCGATGCCACCTGTAGAGCATTTCTGAAATGCGAGGCTTACCACTGCTGTGTGGCAGTGATTGGTCGTCATCACATGTAAGTAGTACCCTTCAGCATTGCAGGCAATGCCGAGACGCATAGATTTGCGACATAAGACTGAACGCGTGGCCGAAGAAGGGCAAAGCGTCCAAACACAATCTTCGACCTCCCCAAACTCGAGAAAAGCCTCTTCGGAATCCTCGAGCAGTAGACGAACATCACAAAGACCGGGCTCTCGAGCATTCCCCTGAGCTGATATCGCGCCGCGTATCTTCAATTACCATATATGCCAGGAGAACATCGAGTATACCGTCTCAGCTGTGGAAGAAGTCATCCATTGCCAGTCTTCGGAGAGGGAGTAACGGAAGTGAACAAAGCACCGAGATGGCTGCTCTTCAGCGCGAATTGGTCTCGGCACAGCTTCCTGCCGGGACATGCGGAGGTGGTACCTTCCTTCCATACTCTGTCCTGGAAGAGAAGGTAACCATGCAGGTGGTCACAAACACGCTATCCCGTCGAAAAAGCAAGTCTCCGGAAACGATATCGAAAATTTCATCCTTTGTCTGTGGAAATCCTGGGGCAAGGAGAGTGTTTGCGATTCTTGTCTACATTAGCCACGCTAAAGTGATTGACCTATTCTACAAGTTTAAGTTTATCGACTCCATTCTCCCTGTCTACATCGACAAAACCGGCAAAGTTAGGACCCATTCCAAGGAAAAGGGCGATTCTGAAATCACCAAAAAGGTCTTTTCCGACGAGTTTTGGGTAGAAGACGTTTCGCCTTGGGTTTTCCACGACGCCCAATGGCAATTCCTTGGCCCGATCTTCAACGAACGTCAATTCAGATACTCGTTCCGTAATGAATACCGAATGCCGTTCTTGGAGCAACATGGCGGGCACAGAGAAAGTCATTTCAGCATGGTGGGAAAGTGGTCTATTCACCAGTCTCACTTCAAGGGAAGCTCAAGACTTGTAAGGCGCCGACCCAGGCATTTCTATGGAATACGAGAATACGATGTTTGCTCGGTGCTCGGGCTCGTTACTGACAAAGCATACAGCGCCTATCGGTTGACACAGACGGACATCCGGTTGTAGCAGTGAAAGAGCTGAAAAAGGTCAACATGAACGGTGAAGAATACGAGCGCGCAGCCGAGGCTGAAGCAGAAGTTCTACAAATGATCCGTGAAATGGAGCATCCACATCTCATTAAGGCAATCGCTTACTACAAAAGGGGCGATCGGTACTCTATCGTTTTCCCATGGGCTGGAGGTGGCAACCTCCGAGACTACTGGGGCAGAGAACCGCCTCGCAAACTCGATGGAGATTTTGTTGGCTGGGCTCTTGGTCAGCTCTGTGGCCTGGCTGGTGCGATGAAGAAGCTTCATTCGGCAAACGACTCCGCTTGTCGACACGGGGACCTGAAGCCGGAGAACATCCTTTGCTTCGAAGGCAGCAGAGGCTCTGACCCGTTTTCTCAGCCATTTCTCGTCATTGCAGATGTTGGTTTAGCAAAAGTTCATACCTTAGCGACAGAGATGCGCAACGAAGCTACGCGCACATTGAACGGAACCGTCATGTACGAGCCACCCGAAGCTGTGCTATTGCTAACGAAGAAACTACCGCGATCGCGACGTTACGACGTCTGGTCCATCGGCTGTATCTATTTCGAGTTTCTCATTTGGCTCTTATATGGAAAGGCCGAGCTGATTCGCTTTGGTGAGGACATAACTCATCCCGTGAACCGAACCCGTCAGTTCTTCGATGTACTCGGATCTGGAGTGACTGGGGCGGCCAAGATCAAAACCGACGTTCAGAAGTGGATGGACTGGATCAGGAGGGACCCTAGGTGCCCACCGAACACTGCTATTCGAAGGCTACTGGAGCTCATTTGCACACGATTACTAGTCGTAGAGGTAGGTAAGACGAGAACAGAGTCATCTGGAAGCGCAGGTACCCCCGACAGCGCCACCCTGCACGCGGCCAATGGTCCAGATAATCCCAGCATTATTCGATCGGATACCAACAGCAGCTTCAACGGCAACATCGCCGACGATCTTCGTTATCGCGCGACTTCAACCGAAATGCATGAAGCGCTGGCTAGCATTCTCAAAGACGCTTCAGGCACAAAGCCAAAGATTGCGTGGATGAGCTGGCAGGCCAGGTCTCCAGGAGGTCCGGGACGATACGGAGACACCTTGGGTGTTTCTCAACCAGGTATAAGGGATCGCCACGGCATTAATCCATGAGGTGAAGAGTAACTTTCCTAGGACCTCGTTCCCCTCCAATAACCAATTCGCTGGTAGAAGTCGGTGCCGACTTGTCGGCCGCAGGTGATAGTGGTCATTCCAACGATGTAAACGTCCCTTATTCTCCAGATTTCAATACTGTATACTGACACCGACAGTACGTACGTTTACCCATAGTGGTATAAGGCTGTGCGATCCTGGCTAATAGTTTCCGTGGCGTAGATGGTATGAAATCTTCTCCATCAACCTTCCGATATCGATACCAAAAGCTAATGTCTTATCTAGTTTGTACGTCAGCAGCCATCCACAACATATGCTCTTTGCTAATACTCACTGTTTCAAAAGACGGTATGTCTACTCAGGATCAACATTCACCTGCCACGTTTGATATCTGGCGGTCTGATGTTTATGCTGATAACACAATTGGGAATAGCCAGTAAGCTTCTTGTGATCCTAACAGGAGACAAATATTCTGACCAGTGATATTCTTCCAGCTTGATAACGAATGGGAGTGTAGCCCAGATATCAACACAGCACGGGAGCTGGCCAAGGAATTCAACATCTTTCGCCAACCACCACTGAAGAATACGGTTGCGATCCTTTGCCCTCGATGCAAGGACCTCCAACAGCGGCTTTGGTCTCATAGGTTTTCCTTTTCTGACAACCTCGAAGCACTGGCGAAAAGAGTGCGGATTTGTGATCTTTGTCACCTGCTTTGCGTTTCTCTTGAGCCTATGATGGCCAAGAGCTACGGGGAGATTCAATTTGAAAAGTTCAACAGCTATTTGACGTCAAGCGTGAGGCCCGGACGGCCAGTCGCAGTCTTCTACAGCTTGCCAGGTGAGGACAACAACGGTTCCGCTTATTCAGCTGATGCTAACTTTGAGCTTCAGAGAAGCCTTTACTTGGTTCGCAGATGGGGATGCCATTGCTTCCGGCAGCCGGCAGTCCAGCGCACATCGCAGTACTATCAACATGGATGCGGGTCTGCGACGATACGCACGAATGCAGCCCAATATCAGACACCACATTTCTTCCAACGCGGGTTATCGATGTCGGATCTAAAAAATTTGAAACATGCCGATTACTTTGCGCAGATCGTGGGCAAACGAATCCAGGGAAATATTTAGCATTGTCGCATCGGTGGGGGGCCCCGGACCAACACAAGAAATTCTGCACATTGAAGGAAAATTTGGAAAGCTTCAAAGAGGAAATCAAGATGACGGATCTCCCCCAAACCTTTCAAGATGCCATCAAAGTCACACGAAGCCTTGGTATTGGGTACCTCTGGATTGATTCGCTCTGCATCGTCCAAGATGACCCTGAAGACTGGAAGATGGAATCTCGTCTGATGGAGCAGGTTTATAGTTCAGCCTACGCGACTCTAGCAGCTAGCTGCGCAAGCGGAACCGAGGATGGCTTTTTAAAGCCTCGGCCATGGAGACATTGCGTTACGTTAGAGTCCGGCAGGGGCTCTTACTACGTCTGCGACTCGATCGACGACTTTGGGCGAGACGTTGAACAGGGCGAGCTGAATAAGCGCGCCTGGATTCTCCAAGAACGAGCTCTATCCCGTCGCACAATCTACTTCTCGGAAAAGCAGACGTACTGGGAGTGTGGAAGGGGTGTAAGGGGTGAAACAATGACGAAAATGAGAAAGTAAGCCTAGCTCAGTCTGCTTTTATCTAGTCTGGGCTTGACTGACTTTTCGATTTTCCAGCCGAAAAGCCTCCTTCCTGGGGGATTCGGACTTCCCCCACTCCATTGACACCTACGTACGAGGAATGAAAATTGAGCTTTACCAAGATCTCTACCAGAAGTACTCGGGGCTAGCACTTAGTTCGATCGGTGACAGGCCTGTTGCCATCCGCGGGCTTGAGACACGCCTCATCCGCACTTTCAAAACTGTCGGTGCTCATGGAGTCTTTGATACCTTTTTTCATCGATGTTTGCTATGGCAAAGAGCGAACCGGAGCCTGAATCGGATCGACTTGGAATTGCTCAGGGGCGTTCATGTTCCTTCATGGTCATGGATGGCTTACGACGGTGAGATCAGATACATGAATGTTCCCTTCAACAGGTATTCATGGGAAGCGGACATCATCTCACCGTTTAAAGGTTGGTCATCTCAAAGCACGAAAGAGACAGGTGAAGCAGATGCGGTCTGTGAGATCAAGGCGCCTGTATGGGAATTTGGCGACTCGAATGACCTCCAGCTGGAACTTGACACTCCAGACAGGACATTATCCAACCTCAAATGTGTGATTGTGGCGAGAAGTAAGGATTTACAAGGCAAGCCGCAACAGTCACATTACATAATAGCTGTGGAATTTGTCGCGAATGACGGGCCCTACGAGGTGTATGAAAGAGCTGGGGTTGCGGAGGTCAGAGGAGCGCAGATTGCGTTTAACAGGGGAAGTCGGGCGGGCGTTCTCAGATGATCTTCGTTAGTCAAGGTAGAGCTTCTTTCTTATGAGTCCCGGACCAGACAGCCCGTTGTTCGGGAGTGTCCTACTTCAGTACGACTCGAGTCTAGTGTAATAAATAGCCATGAGTTATTGAGTCCGGAGAAATTCAATGCTTCGACCATTTTACAGCCATATTCCCGGCAATGTCCGGGGTCTTTCTCCGGTCACCCCTGCCGGTCGGGACCCCTCCCGCGGAAGCCCCTCCGACTTATCAATGCTGTCCGTATCTTCTTGAATCAACGATATTATCCGCCCCCAGAGTTCCGGCTGAGAGGTTCGGATGCTAATGATACCTTATCTTCCAGTGGGGTAAGGAGGATCGTTGGAGAGAGGCCGTCACGCGGTTGCAACGTGCCGCCGTTGTCAAGGGATCCCAACGGTGGATTTTAGAGTTCGACGGTAATTGGAGAAGCATTCGCCGTGCCGGGACGAGACCTGTCAAGACGATAAGCGGGAACGCCTCCTCCTCTTCCCCCCCTCTTTTCTGGGGAAAACGGGCAGCCATTTCAAAAGTTCCACCCTCCCCCTCCCCCAGCCTCGGTCTAGATAACTGACTACGAACGAGAGCGATTCCGCCTTTGGAATTGGGTGGGGAGGACGCGCCTCTGATAACGATTGCTCTCGAGCTGGGATCCATGGCACGTTACGGTTGAATGCTCGGGTGACCGTTATCATTACCATGGGCGACGTAGGCAACTTCCTTCTTCGGGGATGAGCTGGTCTCGATCCAATTGACCAATGGACTTATATGAGGGACGTGTCGGGCCATTTCATGCCATTGCGACTATTTCCCCTCTTCTCCCCGCAGACCGACGACCTCCGGTGACTCTTGGAGATTCAAGGAGCTGATGAGCCATTGGGCTCAATTGACCTCATACTGCTAACCCTCAGTGGCCACGTACCCTTTCACAGCAATCAAGATGACATCTGCCGATTCGACACCGGTAGTGGTCGCCGATGAGAAGCATCATGGGGTAGATGTATCCCAGGCAGCCGACGACCTGGAGAGATTCCAGCGCCATCACCAATGGGACCCCAACCTTTCCGCAGAGAAGGCCGACATGGTCAAGAAGGCATTGCAAGATGGAGATTCCGAGGAGATTATCACCGCCGACGCCATCCTCACTGAAGACTCGCCATACGAAGAGGTCAGAGCTGCGGTTCGCAACACCGATGGTGAACAAGTGGCGAACACGGTGCGCGCCTGGGTTCTCGGAATGATTTTCGTCACGATTGGCAGTGGACTGAACATGTTCTTGAGTATGAGGTACGATACACCACGAAATCAAGGAGGCGGAGAACGAGCGCTGACTGCAACTTATCAAACAGGAGTCCAGCCATCAACTTTCCCTCGATCATCGTCCAGTTGCTCGTCTACCCGATAGGTTGCTTGTGGGCGAAAGTGATGCCAACAAAGGTGTTCAATACCTTCGGCCTTCAGTGGACTCTCAACACTGGACCTTTCACAATTAAGGAGCATGTCGTCATCACCCTGATGTCCAACGTTTCGATCAGCTACGCCTACAGCACCGACGCCCTTCTCGCACTGCAGGGCAAGCCCTTCTACGACATCAATCTGGGATGGGGCTTCCAACTACTCTTCACACTCAGCTCTCAATTAATTGGCATCGGTCTCGCCGGTCTTTGCCGCAGATTCCTCGTCTGGCCGTCAGCCATGATCTGGCCAAACCAGTTCGCCAACACATCCCTCTTCTATGCCTTGCACGATAAGAGCAAAAGCGACGGCACTCACAGCAATGGTTGGGTCATCAGCCGATACCGATACTTCTTCTATGTCCTCGGAGCCATGTTCATCTACTACTGGATCCCTGGCGTCCTTTGGCAAGGCCTGTCAGTGTTCGCCTTCATCACATGGATCAAACCGAACAACGTGGTGGTGAACCAACTGTTCGGAGGCTTCACTGGCCTCTCGCTCATCCCCATCACGTTTGACTGGACTTACGTCTCTGCGTATCTTGGCGATCCTCTCCTGTCTCCGACGCATACTCACATCAATGTTTTGATTGGTCTTTTCGTCTTCGTCATTCTCCCGACCATCGGCATCGCCTACACAGGCGCCCTGTTCTCGGAATACCTACCCATCAACACCTCGCAGACGTACGATAACACCCAAGGCAGCTACAACGTGAGCAAGATCCTTGGTGCAGGATACACATTTGACGAGGCGAAATATAAAGAGTACTCGCCCCTCTTCCTCGCCCCAACGTTTGCCCTCAACTACGGTCTCTCTTTCGCCGCTCTCACCGCAGCAATTGTTCACACGGGTCTTTTCCATGGAAAGGAGATTTGGTACCGACTCAAGACGGCCCGTAACCAGGAACCTGATATTCACATGAAACTGATGAAGAAATACCGCGATGCACCAGAGTGGTGGTATGCCGTCCTTCTCGTCATTGCCGTTGGCCTCGGTCTGGCTACTGCTGAGGCCTGGGACTCGCAACTGCCTTGGTGGGCATTCTTCGTCGCAAACTTCCTGGCGACAGCTTTCGTCGTCCCCACCTGCACGATCTTGGCCATCTCGAACTTGCCGCTTGCCCTTAATGTGTTATCTCCCTTCTTGGCTGGTTTCATGATTCCGGGAAAACCTATCGGTGTGATGATTTTCAAGGTTTACAGCACGATCACCCTCGGCCAAGCACAGACATACTCAGGCGATCTCAAGATGGCGCACTATATGAAGATTCCCCCTCGCATCACATTCTGGTGCCAGGTCGTCGCCACAATCTGGGCAGTCTTTGTGCAAATTGCCGTCATGAACTGGACCTTGGGCAACATTGAAGACTGTTGCGCACTGTAAGTTGAGCACCTGTCGTACTTCCATCTTCGTATCTGATTGGAGATTTAGTCACCAAGCAGCTCACTTCACTTGCCCAAATGGCAGAGCGTTCTTCTCGTCTTCGATCGTCTGGGGCGTGATTGGTCCCAGACGCATGTTTGGAGCTGATTCCCTATACCACAACTTCAACTTCTTCTGGCTCATCGGTGCATGCCTTCCTGTCGTCTTCTACGTCATGACAAAGGTCCTTAATCTCAAGTTCGCCCGAGCCTTCCATGCTCCAGTCATGCTTGGTGCTATGGGCTGGCTGCCGCCTGCGACGCCACTCAGCTTCTCCAGCTGGGCCATCGTTGGCCTGATCTTCAACCACGGCATCCGCAAGAGATTCCACGGTTGGTGGAGGACCTATAACTACATCACGGCCGCCGCTCTGGACGCCGGCCTCATCATCAGCACTATCGTTATTTTCTTCGCCATAACGCTGCCCAATGTCACGATACCCCAATGGTGGGGGAATGTCGATGGTGAGTGCGAACGTATTCCTTCCGAATCTGGTTTTTGATGCATTATCTTGTCGTCAAATCATCTTCATTAAGTCCATGAGCTGACCGTGTCTAGTGTATAATACTCTCGTAAGTAACGCGACGCGCCCGCCTCACTCTGAGATAACGCCAGTGACGCAATGCCTTGCTGCCGCATTCCCTCAATAACAATCGTCAACTGACATTTTCTCCCAATTAGGACTCTACATATGGCGCCATTCTCAAGACAGTGGGGGAGAACGAGACGTTTGGTCCGTCCAGTTGGTGAGCGATCGTGAATCACGCCGCATCACGATGCACATTGCCGCGGCTAGCGCAGGGCATCCGTTTTTTTTCGCTGCCCAAGATTGCTACCTAAACAGCAAACTTCCCTCATGCATGCAATTTTGACTGAGTTATCACGTCACATGCATCGCGAGCAACTGTTGGAGCACACGTGCATGATTTCATGATGCGATCATTTTCGGAGATAGTTGTGAAGAGAAGAGAGAAGACAACTTTGCGCTGTGTTTTTCATTATCATTTGTACACTGTCTTGTAATGTACCGTCCTCGTAGTAGATGGCAAGGGCCAGAAAGAAGAAAAAAAGGTCATAAACAATTCTAATTGTAGTCCGTTAATGCTGGGCGGATTCTTCGTTATTTGGTTTGTAGGTATTTGTGAGTGTGTCTGTGCCGCAGTGAAACATGCAATCGTCAATGATGATAGTCGTAAAAAACATGGAGCCGCCCTCATTCTGTCTCGCGCGCGCTCGCGCATCTGACTCCCAGGGTGGTTAATCAAATGCACCCGAAAATATTCGCGCCTCTTATCCCCCGCCGACCGCGTGCCAAAATTTCAATCCAAGACATCTTCCAGTCCCTTTTGATACGTCAATCTGCCCTGGCTGTCGCAACGTCGTATACGGATCCCTCCTGACGTTGACTACGGGACCGGGGGAGCTCGAGGCGCTGGCGGTATGGCCGAGATGCTCCGTCAATGTGGTTAGACATTCTTCGCTCGAGCGCCTCGGGCCTGGGGGGTGGCGGGTTGCGTTCTCGTTCTCGTTCTCGCTCCTCTCTTCGCGAATGCCTTCTCTGTCGAGAAGCGTCGGAAGCGAAGGAACGGATGGAGGCCGCGTCGTCCCGATCGAGGTTCCGGATGGAGGGCGCCTGTGAGGGGGGCATGCTGTTGTACTGAGCCGGGGAAGCGCCGTTCAGGTGAGGCGGCATTGGAGGAGCCGGCGGAGGCATGTTATTCAGATGGGACGGCATAGGGGGAGCCGGCGGGGGCATACTGTTGAGATGCGGTGGCATGGGGGGAGCAGGGGGAGGCGGGGGTCCCATTGAGCCCATGTCGGGCAACGGAGGCGCGGGCGGAGGCGGAGCGGGTTCGGCGCTGGGGACATGACGAGGTTGAGACTGCGCTTGATGATACGATTCCCTCCGCGCGGCGTCGGCATATGAATCCCTCCGCTGCTGGGGTTCGACGAGTGACCTCCTCGATCCCACAAAGGACTCGTTGACATGGTAAGTCATCTCCGGGACAGGAGATGTCCTCTCCCGCTCGCTTTCGCCTTCGAGGTCGTAGTCTGGCTCGTCGTCGTCATCATCGGGACCACCATTTACCACACTCGCCTCGAGTTTTGCACCCTTCTTGCTGACCAGCTTGCCCTGGCGGTACTGCTCCAACGCCCTCTTCAGAACGTTGCGCATGACGGCTTTGTTAACATTCCTCCGTACGCGGTCGAAGTAGCGGGTTACGTCGCCGACGACCATGACCTGCGCGTCGTGATCGACCTCGAGGACATCGGCGTAGTTGGCTCGCGAATTTTCCTTGACGCGGAACTTGCCCGGGCGCAGCTGCATGCCCACCGGCGAGAAGGGCAGTTTGTCGAAGGGCGGCGTCCGGTCATTTTCTTCGAAGACGTAGCCCTGTTGGCTCGAGTCGATTCCGGGCTTCTGGAAGTCGTTCTTGGTGGGGGTGGAGATGGGACTTTTTTCGGGGAGCCGATCGGGTTAGCGAACAGGATTGGGAGGGAGGGGTAAGATGATTGAAGAAAAACAATGGAGTGAGTCGCAACGCAACGACGACGACGATGAAGAAGAAAGATGCTTACACGCAGATAACGTAGTGCGGAAACGTGTCGCTATGTCGAAGGACAATGAAGCGGGTGTATCCAAGGCACTTCCACTCCCATTCGAACTCGTGCGAGTCCGCCCAGAGGAACTCGAAGACATCGCCTATCTCCAGCCGCGACGCGGGGCCAATGTCGTAGCCCTTGCGAGCTGTTGATGGTCTCGAAAGTCAGCAAAAAGAACCACGTTTCAATTTGTCGCGTGGCAGAACAACAACAGAAGAAGAGTCACAGCCTGGTAGCCCCCAAAGGCCCATCGGCGTGGATCTCCCATCTCGTGCGCTGGTGGTGGTGTTTGGGCGACTCACCCAGAGGGTGCTCATACGAGCTCTCATGCGTGCCTACTGACGCATCATCTCCGTTTCCCGAGTCCTTCCCCGAGTCACTCTTAGTGCTCTTGGTACTCTTACTCCTGAAAGTCGTAAATTCTCGGTTCCCGATCACCATCTCTTGCCACATCCCACGGAAAAGGAAGAAGAGAAGAAAGAGAGGGGATTCGAAGAAGGGGATATCTTATGGTTCAAGGTGCCGCTTGAGAGGTCAGAAGCTCTGGCGGGGAAAAGAAAGAAGGATGATCGGTCATTGTAGCAAGACTGGACTGAGACGGGGACTATGACTGGGGGGCAAAGAGAGGTGAGCTGTCGGAATCGGACGTGAATTGAGCCAATGCAATGCAAGGAGCCCAACCAGAAAGCACGCAGCCGATGTCTGGGGCTGCTGGATGGACCGACCGACTGACCGATGTGGGAGGGACTCAGGGGGCACTCGATAGAGAGGGAGGCAGGGCGACTCGCGAGGGATTCAGGTCAGGGAGGCAGCAGAGAAGGGCGGTCTCGTCAACCCGCGGCCGGCCCTGTTGGCAGCCAGTTGCTCTTTTTTCCGCCACGTCGCTAAAATGGATCATGCGCGGTGTACATGATGCCCAACCTCCACCGCCATGCGTCTGCTCTCATGTCAATGGTCGTGATCAGTCTGCTCATCCCCACCCGCCGCGATTTCAACCAGACGTTTCTTGTCCCAGCGCAAACAAGGGCTTCTTGGGGGTTCCAGCGCGGGTCGAGGGACCCGTCACCGCTCTTTCGGCGGAACCTTCGCCGGCCTTCCGGGGTGGCTGATCAATCACTTTTGCCCGCCTTATCTACTCCGAGGCAGAGGCAGAAAACTTGTGACTATGGAGCTGGGAGGCCGGACGGGCTTGGCTTCATATAGCAACGGCCTGCAAGAGCCTGCGAGAGCGGTTAGGAAGAGCCCAAACATGCTTGATGCGTTGATCACGAAGTGCCTGGCATGACCGTCTGGATGTGTGCGGGTGCAGCCGCTATTTTATCTGTGTCTTAGCACAAATGAGGGGTCGACGGGCCTAAAAATAACACAAAATTCCAGGGGATTCCTCCGGCAAGATCCTAATCGGAGAAAATGGATCTCGACGCGCCAACATAACACCACACAACGAAAGAAGAGCCTCTTGAAGCCAACGTGAGAGCGAAAGAGCTCAGCAACAACTCATCCTATGTCGCACATTGCCGTCCAGTATTCGACTCACCATTGGCGACCTAAAATTTCATGCTTCCGTCCTCCTGTTCGGCCCAGGGGTCTGGGACACTACCACTCTGCACCGACCAGGATCCTGCTGCTCCCCAACCACTCAGGGCCTGCCCGACATAATCCGCGAGCTTGTCCCCCAGTCTCTCACCGTCAAGTCTCAAAGAGAGCCTTACCTTGCTTGCCTTCAAAATCTTGTCGGTCAGGTTACAGGCTCTTCACCGACCCAGAATGATTTCATTTTTCTCTCATAAGTGGGCCTGGAAATTCCTTCGAATTTTCCTCTTGTTAGTCATCACTTCCAGTCGCACGTGAGAGAGTCTCTGAGTCAGAGCCACTGGACTGTCTCGTTAGCTGTCTCTCTCGGCAATGCATCCTTGAGTCTCTTCAACGATATGCGCAATTGGCGCAGGATCTGTACACTTGGGGCCAGGAAGTACTTGGATCTTGGATATTCGAATGACTAAGATGCCCCTATGTACAGAAATATTTACTGACGCTACCTGACCAGACCCACGCGCCGAGACGAATCTCACTCAATGCGTCACCGGCTTGAGCTCCGCCACAGGTCTCATGGCGAACATGTGTCCTGCGCCCCCAGTGCTCCGCTTCACCATGACCACGCCTCTCTCTACCATTGATCGCTCGTAATCCTTCAACCTGGCAATCTTGGCTTGGGTCTGTTTTGAGCCGGAAGAAATTTCAACCAGCGCTCCGAACAGGTCGGCAGCGTCTTGGAATGCCGAGTTCGCACCAACACCTCCGACGGGTGACATGGGGTGAGCTGCGTCTCCGAGCAATGTGGCCATTGGATGCGTGTCCTCAGCAGAGTTGATGAACTCACCCCAAGCCGATGTGAAAAGCTCTTCAGAGGTCGTATGGAAAGCAAGGGTGGATGCAGACTCCACATCTTGCTTTTCGATCAGCCTACGTACCGACGAATGCCACGGCGATGTCATCGATTGTGCCTGTTGAGCCGATTGGGCATGATCGAATCTCAAAAGCTCTTCTGACTGGATTGGCACCACGTCGTTGCGGAAGCACAAGACCCAGTAGACATAATCAGAGGGAATGTGGTATTTCGTCTTCATAGCTGGGTCCAAGGTCTTGTCGAACACCATGTTGTCGCAAAAGAGCTTCACCGGGCTCTCGCTAGACTCTCCAGTAAGTGACATGCCGCCGACAATCTCGGCAGGCACAGCAGACGCCAACTCTGGTGTTCGAAAGCTTTTTCCAAACACGGCTCGGCCTTCGGTGTCCAACACGGTAAGGTTGGGCAATAGCTGTCGTCGGATAGCCGAGCGAGTGCCGTCTGCACCGACTAGGAGGCTGCCTGTCTCCTTGGTCCCGTCACCAAAGGTAACTTCGACCTCGCCATCGGGACTCGTGATGTAGCTTTGAAACTTCTTGCCAAACGAAATATGCTCTTCGAGGCCTTCTAGCAAAATGTTGCGGAGAATGGCGCGGTCAACGTTGTACGCCTTGCCTTCCTGGAATCCCTGTCGTCCAGCCCCGGTCTTGGGAGGCGGGCCGGGAAGAGGCGTTGCCCACTCGGTGGGCTGGCCGGTCATGGCATCCATTCGGCTGAACCCTGGCTGCATCGGAGCGGAGGTTGCTTCGAAGGCCTGCCAAAGGTGGCCGGGGAGAAGTTTCTGGAGAGCAGCGGCTCCATCCGGGGAGATGCGGATACGGTAGCCCTGGGTGCGGAAGGCCGCCGAAGTATCCCGCTCGAAGACGTGGAATGCGACCGGAGGGTTGGCGTTCTTGAGGCTTTGAGCCAGGGCGAGACCGCCTAGGCCGCCGCCCACGATGATGATGCGTGATGCTGGTGAAGAAATCATGATGATCTTGTTGTTCGGAGTGAATGGGTTTCAGAATCCTCGTAACCCAATGGAGTCGTGACTCGGTGCGTGTGTTTAGTTTGATGATACGAGAGAACAGGGCGCAAAAACGACCAGGCGTTCGTGAAATTTATACCCGTGAGTTGATTTGAAGACATCTTGACATCCGGACATGGACTTCTACTATGAAGTCGGGTCATACATGGAAATTTGCCAAAGACCGGACCCGGCTCTGACGGTTGGTGAGACTGCCAAAATGTTTCGGGACCGAGCGTTGCACCCGTGGCCGAGCGGTTCCGCTGCCCACCTGCCGCGTGTGCCGGGTCGGCGAGGAAGACCATCGCTCGGCACTAGCCTCCATAGTCGACGCCACTCAGATTCTGAGAGACAGATCCCACACCGAGTTCCCGTGGCACAGTTGAAAAAACACGGAGAAGACTGAAAGGGAAGGCTGGTAAGCGCTAGGGTATTTGTATCGCGATGTTGTCAGAACAATTGGATCATGCATGTGTCCAAAGATGAAGAGCCAAGTCCTCGAAGTAATTAACTCGGCATTAACATTGTCTTCACGATCGGCCCTGGCCGTGGTCAATACGGCAGCTCTAGAGCCTGTTGGCCTGTCCTGGGAAATGAATGGAATCAAAATCCGTGGCACTTGGCCATGGGTCTTCCTACTTCACTAAAGCGGTATACGTTTTCAGGACGATTCTGTTCCTTTTTTACACACTAGCCCTCCATGAAACTTCTGCCAATCTTCATTTATCCCCATTCCATTTCACTATCAAATCCTCTGATATCGTGGTGGCTCTCCTGGATAGGGTCCTGCGCAGTCGCCGCCCCCCTTGAACCTAATCCTTAGTTTCGTGCAATGATTGCCTCGACAAGCGGGATGTCGCTGGGAGCAAGAGTGGCGACGCTAACATGGGGCCATGAGAGAGTAGCGAAGTTGAGCATGACGGTCTGAGAATACTGAATCTGAGTATACTCGACAGTCACGGTTCTTGCCGTCTTGATCTCATCCCGCACGACGAATGTGGGAACTCCATCGTGACGGCTATGGGCTGCCGGCGAGAAAGTCCTGAAAGGCTTCTGCGCAGTGGGCTTCCAAGGCTTGAGCTCAACCTTTGCTTGCACCGTCGAGACCCAATAAGTCGCCGACATGCTCACTGCATCCGCGTTGCTTGGCCCACCTGTGCCCGGCGCCTTGCCAGAGACAAGAAAGCCGATGTTGCGTGTGCCGCCACCAGCCTGAGAATCGGTTGACACCGTGAACGTAGTGGTGTTGGTGATGGTCTTTCCCTTATTGGCCTTGCTCAAGATGCTGTTAGGGTTGTCAATCATCTCTTGAGTGATGCTAGAGTTCTTGATGAAAGGTTCCAGGTCCTGAGGCAGGCGATGGGTGGTGCTGTCCGTTGCCTGTTGGCTGGGAAATGGGATTGGAGACTGGGCCTGGATCTTGCCGATGCCGAATGGCGTGATGTCAGCTGATTCGATATTAGGTGCGCCATTGGTGGTGACCGCCTGATCAAAGCATTGAGCGTTGATCGTGGTGCCATGAGGAATGGACGCCATGCGAGCATAAGACGCGGCCAGGGTGGGGTCCTCAGTTTTGGGGACGCGCATCCAGAGGCCGGGCTCAAAGTGGATGACTGGTTGCTGGCGGCCCTTCACCTTCTCGGTCAAGTCGATAATGGTCTGGGTGTATGAGATTCCGTCAAGAGCGACATCAGGTTGATCGTCCAGGCCGCGGTTGGGCACCGCCCCGAGAGGGGTAGAGAAAACCTGGGTCTCTGCGGTGATGTTCAACTGCAGGATGTTGTCCTTGACGTTGTCATTTGGCTTGACATTCATCTCACTGAAGCCGGCCTTGTTATTATTCGGGCGGAAGATGGTGTTGAAACCATGTCCCTTGAATGTTCCCTTGAAGTGCTGGAGAACCTCAAGGGGAGGAGCTCTTAAGTTGGATGCCGGGGGTTGCAAATCAGCAGCAGATCCATTGGTACCGTTAGAGTGATCAGATCCGTTGGTGCCGTTGGGGGCAGGAACACCGTCGGTGTTGGGTACGGCCCCCTCTTGCAGGGATACCGACTCAGAGTAGGTGAAGTTCGGCGGGAGGCTGATGGAGACAGCAGGGGCGATGAATTGACTCATGATTGAAGCTTTTGGGTTATGATGTGCTATAGAAAATTTGGTGGTGGGAGATATAAAGATGAAGCAGGTTTAACTAGGCTAGACGTGTGACTTTAAATAGAGAAAGAGTCGGTGGTCGGCGAGTAAATAGAATTGTGATTCCTGATCCGTAGGTTATGGAAACATATCCTCAAATGCTTACTGGAATGAACCGCATGAATGAAGGCGGCAGCGATGGCTTCAGGAGGTGGGCTGATATAAGACAAGCTGAACGCCGTGGCGTAGAGCTGGCCAGATGCGACGAAAATGAATAGGCAACCACACCATGATTGCTGGCCTCAACATCTGCAGGGTCTACAACTACGTATCTGATCTACAAATAACGATACTATTCATATACAAACACTACAGACATATGATGATTTCCAAGCAATCAATAGCTGTCCGAAGGAACAGAAACACGTCGATGAAGTGCGATCAGAGAGGTTTAGCTGATCATGTTAATGGCTATTTAACTTCAGCAGTACCAGCGTTGGCATGGCTGGGTGTTAAGGAACATGAGTATGATCGAGAAGGCACTTGTGTCTCAAGTTGTAGTATGGAGACCTACATACGCTGAGCTCAACGTGGTTGCACCGCGGCTTATCCCGCATCCGGCACTTCAAGAATCCACACGCAAAAACCCCTTCAACCGGCTTTCTTCCCCAGCCTTTTCCGTTTCAATCGACCAGAGGTATGCTTTCAGAAAGGCTACTGATCGTTTTTCTGCCTCGTTCAGTGTTAGCTTGGCAAGCTCATTGGAGGGATTGTCAATATGGATTCTAGGCCGTCCGCAGATGCCAGACCCTGGATGCTACGGAATGCATGTCTCACTCGACGGCAGCAAACGGTCGGAATGTCAGCCTGCTTGGTATTCAAAGGAAGCCTATTGGACAGGAGAAAAAGCTAAGTTTGCAGCTGACCTTGGCAGAACTTTTAAGTCGAGGGGTTCTCTGACCGAAAACATCACGGCACCCGGCCAACAGGGCATGGGCATGGGCCGGTATTGCCTGCATACCTGCGACTTGAAGTTTCATTTACCATCTCAGCTCCACGATAGACCTCTCGGATGATGCCAATTTGGTGGCTTATAGCAACGTGTCCGGCCTTAGCTGACACGCGGAATCCCCGCACACAATACCGAGACATGCACCACCACCACAGGACTCGCCTAGCTCCCGTAGGGCTCCCGAGTGGTTCCCGTCCCGTTAGCTCCCGCTCTATGAAATTGGGATTACGACCGAGATTGGCCGCTATGGGGACGGAAAGACGAAAACATCAAGCAGAGGTGGAATTAGCTCCCTAATGGTACCCGAGTATGGTCAAGCTCCAGGCCTTGACGATAGCCTCCCTCATTCGTACTCCTAGACTACCATTCCCACCCGTATCTTCTCAGTCTTTGCGGCTCTTTCCATCAATTCTTGACGTTGATGGTTGAGTATCGCGAAGAGAATCTTGAACGCAATGGCAAACCAGTAAATCCCCGCGGCACCAGTAAACAAGGTACTGAGAATGATGAACGCCAAAGCCTTTGCGCCATATTGAACATGAATGCCCAAGTTTCTCCCTAACATTCCAATCGTACCACCAACAGCGAGAACCAAGGTGACGGTGATTACGCCTATGCTTATCTGGGATCCAGTCGCAAAAAGTGAGACCAGAATGTTCGCCAGCATGTTCAGCTTACTGGATCTGAAAATCACGCCCGAAATTGAGCTGATGATAAGTAATGCGTTTCCGACGAGGGCTATTATGTAGAATGCAAAAAGAATGTTTCCCAGTGCCGAGAGAATGTCGTCGAACGAGTCGAAGATGTCGGCAATCTGGCCCGAGAAGGGTATGGTGATGTTCGCCACCCCTAAGGGAATTTTCGTAGGTATCTTGGAGACGAGATCCTCAACTCCTAGGTCTAATCAGTAAAGTTTTCTTTGACAACACATCATGATTGCACGCCTCATATCTTACCAACTCCTTGTTCGCTGTATCGAGGACATGCCGACATGGGCCCGGATGCTCCTTTCGACGACTCGTTCAGGGGCATCCCCATGCAGACATTTGCGACATAGAAGGTGTACTGATTCTTGATGCCAATGATGGAGCTGATCTCATCTATGAAGGCTTTCTCGATGACTTGAATTTCGCCTTCAATCCCGTGCGTGATGTTTCCCAGCAGACTACCAATGGCACCCGCAGCGGCTGGAACCGCAGACTCAAGGCTCCCAACAATCTGGGCTGGATTCGGAATCAGGCTTGCCAGGGCTGCCGGATTCTCGAGAACAACCAACGGATTTGGTATAGAAGATGCAACACCTTGAAGAGCGCCTATTGGGTTCTCTAAAATCTCCAAGGGATTTGGTATTGTTTGTGAGGGATCAGGATTTGGTGAGCGGCCGGCAAGTCCATGGTGTTGGACGGGGGCCTGAATGGCACGAGAGGTTGTGCCGGATTGATTCAACGATGTCAGACTTATCTAACGACCATGTAAGAGCATGCTGTAACAAAGAGTATTCCGTTCACGAAACATACCGAGAGGAAGTAGACGTCGCTCGCCTGATCGGCCTGCCTACCAGAGAGGACGAGAACCAATGTCAAAGAGAAAGAAACGATACTAAGAGCAGCCGGTAACAAGGCTGACCGACGATATTGCCGTCGACTTGCGACTCTGCTCTCTAGACTCGCAGTCGACTGGCTGAATGCGCTGAACATGTTGAGAGGGATCAGGAAGAGATGAAAGATGAGGGACTTGGCGACAAAACCTATCCCACATTGAGCGTGATCATGCCATCTAGATTAATATTATCAAAACCACATGTGAATTGTTTCTCAGCTCCAAAGCCCCTTGTAAATCAGATCTTATCTCCGTGTCCACAAACACGAAAACGATGATCCGTACCTGCCGAAAGCACTGCCATCACGGAAAGTATCTTCGTGAACAATGACTCAATAGTTAATAGACTGTTAGTAGACAACCTCCACATCCCGGGGCTACAATCTAATCAGAGTCATATCTGATTCGTTCAAAACAGGCTTTCAGCTGGACATTGACCGGTGTTCCCCACGGCATGGATCAAAGTCTCACAGATGCCGGTGGGAGCCACAGATGGCGTGTGGCAGATGTCATCGCGACTTACAAGCCGCTTTCGGCAACGTCTCCAGCTCAGCCGCAAAATGCTCTTCGCGTCTCTGCGCCTCGCAGGGCTCCAGAGTCTAATTGCTTCTTTACGTGATTGACGTTTCGCAGTCTCTTTCCCCGCAGGGCGTGTCGGCCTATCAGCGCTTACGGATGAACGTGAGAATACACTGGGTTTGGCTTCATCTCATGTTCTCAAACCGGTTCATTACCCGTTTGGTAGGTGTGCCTATCAACACACAGACAGACGCACGTCAACGGCAAGTATGTTCGTTAGACCCTTCAACGGCAGATGTGAATGCATGTGAAGATTCGTGGAGGCTGAGTCCAATGGACAGAGGGGAGAACCTCAAAAAGGGAAATCGAGTCGTGGTGATGTACGCGGCCGGCCTGGTTGATTTTGAGTCGCTTCTGATTTCCCGGAGAGGACAATCTCCAGATGTCCGAAGTGGAATTCGATTCATGAGGGCGGCATTGAAACAGCCGGCCAGCTGGATCTACTACAAATATGGCAAAGCCTACGGCAATCTGCAACAACGATCACGCTTCTGGCAAACCAATTGAAAACACCACTGCTGACAACACTGCATCTACCCCTTTCTCCTCCATCTAGCTTGGAGCATCAATCATCATGGGCTTCCACAACCCACTTCCTTCATCCATGGAGGGTGAGTTCAGAATCAGAAACCGCGTGTACAAATGCTGACACCGTCCAGCTGAGTGTAAGAAGTGTGCAAAGATCTTGACATCTTTTGTTGATGCCAGACGCTTCGGCCCCGACAGAGTCATCCCAGCGAAAGTGTTGTCTTCAGCCAAGGTGAATATCCTTCTCAGCCGGGCCGTCGGGAAGCCCCGCTTACACAAAGCTTTCAACAGGGTCTCGCAGTTATCACTGTATTCAAAGCTGGGCTCTTTGGATCAGGCAGATTCGGCAGTGGAGTTGTCGTTGCCCGTCTGCCGAATGGTTCATGGAGCGCCCCGTCCGCCGTCGCCCTTGCCGGCACCGGCATAGGAAGCCAAATCGGTCTTGAACTTGTCGACTTTGTCTTCGTCCTCAACAGCTCCGACGCAGTCAAAACCTTTTCTCAAGCAGGTTCCCTGAGCTTTGGGGGCAGCCTCTCACTGGCTGCCGGCCCTTTCGGGCGCACCGCAGAAGCTGCTGGCGCAGCCAACCGACGAGGTGCCGCAGCCATCTACAGCTACTCCAAAGCCAAGGGATTCTTTGCTGGAATCTCTCTGGAAGGCTCAGTGATGGCTGAGAGGAAGGGAGCGAATGATAAGATGTACGGATGGCCGTACTCTGCGGGCCAACTCCTCTCTGGAGTGGTTGAGCCTCCGCCCGCAGCCGCGCTGCTGATGGAAGTTCTGAAGATGAATGCATTTGGAAGTTACATGTTCTTGCCGATTGGCATTCAAAGCCCGGCTATACCGAGCCCTAGGTTGGAAGCTGAAAGAAGCGCCGGCTCTAGCTACGATGATGCGGATGTGCCCCTGGTGGCACTGTCACCACGCCCTCTTCGGTCCAGACTTGAGACTGGCACGATGACATCGCAGCAGCAGTACAGGGAGAATGAGGAGCAGCACGCTGCGGAACAACGTCTGCAGGCCCTTCGATACGAGGGAAGCCAATCTGGAAGACAACGGCCAAGAGGTCAGCAGCCCGGCGCACAGCATTCTGAGACAAGGGCCGGGAGGCAAACGTCGCCGAGACAGCACCTGCAAAGACAGGAGATTGAGAGGCAGAGATCAGAAAAGCCTGCCCAGTTATATTTGGATGATCAGTCAAACATGATTTGAATGCGGGCAGGTATTGGGTGACCACATTGGGGAGCTCCTCCGAAGTCATTAGTTTCGCTTCATGCCTGGGGCAATAATACCTTTGAATTCGATGCTTCTTCTACCTTTTGAGCCCAGCCACATACAATTTGTGGAGGTTTACGCCACACTGTGGAAAATTCTTTGAAATCGATGCTTACTTTCCTGTATGTTTAACTTAGTCTCTTACCGTTTCATCGTACAGGTGACAGAGTATCATTGCTGTCACTTGTCAAACATTTAATTCCCGACCATCTTGACCCGCAGAAGATGAAGAAGCGGAGTGCGAGATGCTGTGTTGGACAATGGAGGGCGCTAACCCAGGGGCTAGAGCAGAAGTAGATAACAATGCGGGCCTGTTGTTCCGCCTATCTTCAGTGCACGTGCCCGAGAGCAGGGGGCCATGATGTCTTGGCTGTAAGCATCCTCGGCTACAGCGGCCTAGTTTGACCATTGTTTTCGCAAGCCAAGGTCGTACAAAAACACCGAATTTCACATCTACAAAAGTCCATCAAGTACTCACTAGCAAGAGGTTGAGGCTCCGGCTTCCCGGCACTGCGGTAACAGGGTGTTCTTTAGCCTTAACCTTGCCGGTTGGACGTGCAGATACAGCCAGTTAGACAAGCCAAAGAGCCGGGAGGCGTCGCCAAATGCGTGAACATGGCAGCTGTCTTAGACTTTAGTCAGTTCCCTAGTAATGAACGGCGCAGATCGCGTGGGCAACTTGATCCAAACGAGTCATTGTCACTGGCGACATCGGATAGGCGTCCTGCAACACCATAGGCTCCGCATGGAACCGGGGACCCCCCCCCCCCCCCCCCCCCCCCCNCCCCCCCCCCCCCCCCCGAGGTGGAACGGACGAATAGATCGAAGCATCGCTTAAGATATCCGTGCAACATGGAGCCTCGGCCGATTCATCGAGATTCACTGGACGAGGGATGATGTCACGCTCCATGAGGTTAGCCGAGTTATTTTTTCCACGAACGTGTCGCCACGTCGACCGCCCCGAACGGGTTCTAGAACCCCAACCGCAACAACCCACACGCACGGTAGATCGAAAACTCGGCCGAGGGGGCGGGGACGCGTCAATCTTACTCTGAGAGGCAAATGTCAGACCAGAAAAAATAATGGAAAATTGAGAAGTGCAGAGAGACGTCTGATGTGAGCTTGCTTCAACACCGAGGCCACACCGAGAACCCATCCCAGGCGCGCCGCAACATCTTACCCCTCACCGATTGTTCGCGCGCATCCGATGTCAACCTCCACTGAGGCTCAGCGCGAGCGGGAGGTTCAGCGCTACCTCCAGAGCTGGCAGGTCGCTCAGGGTTCTTCTCTCAACGTCGCCACCAATGTCGACAGCATCGCGGCGCCTGACCTGCAGAACACAGGCTACCAGGCCAAAGCGTCGCCGGACAGGACTCTCACGGCCTTCTCCCAGCTGGCCGTCCTCAAGCTCGACGTCAGGCGTGCCATGGTATCGCTGATTGACTCTACCACTCAGACCATCCTTTCCGAGGCCACTCGAAACATTCAGCTGGGGGAGCTCGACACCGAGGCTGCGGAAGAACCGGTGAACAGCACGAACAGCGACCTATGGCGTATGTAGACTCTCTCCAGGAGACGGCTCCAACGAGCCATTATGTCGTCTGTGCCAAGGGTTGCCCTCGGCTTTGCAGAGTCGTGGGATGGAACCTACTCTTGCGGTGCCGCGATGCTGACCATGAAAACTTCAAACAGTCGGCGCCGCCATCCTATCTCGCCCGGACGCTGTCTGCGAGCATGCCCTCGCAAACACCTGCACCGCGATAGACTCTCCGAAGGATCGGCCGTACACCGTTCCAGGCCTCATCGTCTCCGATTGCCGCTACGACTCACGCTTCGCAACCCGTCCGTATGTTCTGTCGGAGCCTGGTGTTCGGTTCTACGCCGGCGTGCCAATCTTCTCCCGCAATGGACACCGAATCGGCGCCTTTGCTGTGTCGGATGAGCGGCCTCATGAGGGACTCAAAATCGAAGAGATCAAGTTCATGCAAGGCATCGCCCAGACTGTGATGGAGCATCTAGAATGGGCAAGGGACCGTGTCGATCGCTTCAAGGGCGAGCGTATCGTTCGGGGGTTGGCGGCTTTCGTCGAGGATTGTTTCACTATGAACGACGACAATATTTTGGCCAAAGACGACGTATCCCCGAACCCATCGACGATTCGCCCTCCCGAGATGGCGCTCAGCTCTTCAAAGCGCCCTCTTTCGACAGCCAATGTTTACTTTCGTGGATCCGGGTCCCCTCGATCATCCCTGCCGACACGCCTACGACAAGCGGCGCCAAACTCTCCACCACAATCGCCGCCAAGGAACAACTTCAAGCAATTTAACAAGCAGAAGCCTGATAGTATATCGAGCCTCTACCACCGTGCAGCTGACATTTTGCGACGCTCGACACTCGCTGATGGCGTCGTCTTTCTGGGTGCCACAACCACAACGTCCAGACAGCTGAGCAAGGCCATGAGGATGGGAGGATCAAAGTCGTCCGACGAGGACGAGCAGTCGCTGCCAGTCACATCGGGCTCTGAAGGCGTGGGACTCGACAGCTCTGACTCTGACACATCACCCGCAGCGAGACCTTGTAAAATCCTGTCTTACTCCATCACTGATGAGCAGACACGCGCTGGCATGGAGCAGGGCCCTCCCCTTTCACTCGGAACACTCGAAAAATACTTCGCCATGTTCCCGATGGGCAAAACATTGTCCTTCACGGAAACCGG